AAAAAGACTTTAAGATAAATCATACCCAAGGTACATTTTAATTATCATAAAGCAATTTTGTGTCCTATGATTTTCACATTACACATGAGTATTACACAAATCATTTCTCCTTTAGAACCTGTTTTAGAAAGAAATCTATCAAAGTCTGTGTATCTTAACATTAAAATATGGCCAGGCGGTGGTGGCGTATGCCTTTAATCCCAGCACTCGGGAGGCAGAGCCAGGCGGATCTCTGTGAGTTTGAGGCCAGCCTGGTCTACAGAGTGAGTTCCAAGAAAGGTGCAAAGATACACAGAGAAACCCTGTCTCGAAAACAAAAAAAAAACAAACAAAAACATTAAAATATGTAGCTTAATGAAACTTAAGACTACAATGGATACTGTTTTATATAAACAAATAGAATTTTAAAGTTTTATAAAACACTTGATTGACCCAAAGATACCATCTTAATAGGTTTTAAGAAGTTCAGTGAACCCATGTGTATAAAGCAGTATGTTTTTATCAGACATTTTTTTTTTTTTTTTGGTTTTTTTTTGGTTTTTCGAGACAGGGTTTCTCTGTGTAGCTTTGTGCCTTTCCTGGAACTCTCTGTAGACCAGGCTGGCCTCGAACTCACAGAGATCCACCTGGCTCTGCCTCCCGAGTGCTGGGATTAAAGGCGTGCGCCACCACCGCCCGGCCTTATCAGACATTTTGATGTATCACCAAAACACATTTACAAGTATATGCATGTGGATTTTAATTGGACATGCTAAAAAAAATTCCAGTGTCCATAAAATGAATGAAAAATTTGAAGTGGCCACATGTGCATACAATTATAATCACAAATAACAGAGTTCCATGAAATCTGGGTGTACCTAGTAAAAAGAAGAGAAGTGTAAAGTTATATCCCCAGCTCCTTGAGATGTAAGGAAGCTTAGTAGCACAAAAACTGGAAGATGGAGTTTGTTGTGTAGCCTTAAGGCAATATCTTAATTTCCTAATGTTGGGTGCCAAATAGCACAAGGTAGAGGATACAGGGAACCACCTTCCTTGGTGCAACTTTGGGCTAGAGCTGTTTAGTCTTAATTTATAGTGAGGCTAAACTAATTCCAGTTCTTACTTGTGTGTCTAAAAGAAGAGAAGGAAAGAAAAATTCTTGGGTCAAATACTGTGCACCTTCCCAGTGACCATCTGGGACATTCTCTTCCTAGATTAGGCAAGTTGACATTGAAAGTCTGAAACTTGGAGCCATTTACCCAGAGGAAAGACATCTAACAACAACAGAAAGGTCAGGAGAGGAAAGAAGAGGTGAAATTGATTGTCGTAGTGATAACAGTTGACCCGTTATCTGGGACTCTGACCTAGAAGAGAAATCTAAAAGTTTAATAGGTAGAAAAAAAATGGACGGGTCTGTTGATCACGGTCTGTAGTTGAAGACTAGGAAATTGTGATGTCTCAGAAACCTGTTGGAGCAGTCAACTTAAAAGTTTTTGATTTTGATTTTTTGAGACAGGGTCACATGTAGCCCAGGCTAATCTTGAACTCACTAGCCAGCTAAAGATGGCCTTGAACTCCTGTTCCTCCTGCCTCCACTCCTCGGGTGTTGTACCACCTCATCCAGCTGACTAGTTTTATGAAGGGGAATGGTCAACCAGTGGATATTACAAGGATGTATTCTAAAAAGCCTCTTGGAGTCAGTAATTTGAGAGAATATATTATTGTAATTCAGGTTGTCCCTATGGAGGAGGAATGTTAAGCTGACTTATGGAGCATGTGAGAGGAATAAAGAAGTGGACAGGGTTGGGAAAGGAACTTAGTGGTAGGGTATTTGGTAGGGTGTCAGGCTCTCATTTCAATTCCTAGCACCACAAAAATTCTAACTCATCAATGTTTTAGGAAATTGAGCTATAACAGGAAAAAAGGCTGTAGTAGGCAGAGGACATTATAGTTAAAGAGAAAGATTTTAAGTATAGGAAAAACTAGGGCAGAGTTATGCTCATAGCAGAATAAGATAGAGGACTCCTAAGAATTACTGAAAAACAGTCCCTGAAAAACAGTGCTAGGTTCTAGAATATGGATAAAATTTAGTTTCAGATGGAATAGCAACAACTTTTCAAACATACTTATTTTGCACATGCTGTGTGTGTGTGTGTGTGTGTGTGTGTGTGTGTGTGTGTGTGTGTGTGTGTGTATGTGTGTGTGTGTGAAGTTATAGGTTGTTACGAACTGCCATGTGGGTGCTGGGGACTGAATTCTGGTCCGGCAAGAGCAGTAAGTGCTCTGAACCGATGAGCCATCTCTCCAGCCTCCATGAAATGGCCACTGTTGTAGAAAGGGAAAATGTGATAAGGATGAATTCAGAGGAGTCTATGGGAAGCGAGAGAAGAATTTAAAGATGGTAGAAATATTACAAAGAAGTTTTTTGTTTGTTTGTTTGGTTGGTTGGTTTCTCGAGACAGCATTTCTCCTTGTAGTTTTGGTTCCTGTCCTGGATCTCGCTCTGTAGACCAGGCTGGCCTTGAACTCATAGAGATCCACCTGGCTCTGCCTCCCAAGTGCTGGAATTTAAGGCGTGCACCACCACCACCTGGCCTTACAAAGGAGTTTTTATAGGACTAATATTTTTATTAGTGATTTTGGTGGTAAAGTCCTTCCTTTACACAAGAAAGGAAGGCGTCTAGGGTAGGGTACTCAAAAGAATGTAAGTTCAAATATTTACTCAATGAGTATAATAGGCCAGCATGCTAGGCACCGGGGATATAATGGAGGAGATAAATTCCCGTGTTTAATATGCTTACACTCTGCAGAAGAGTGTAAAACAAACTAAAAACCAAATAGTGTTAAGTGGTATGAAAAAAAGTAAAGTGGGAAAACTAGATCATTGTCCAATTTTGCTAAAAAAAAAAAAAAAAAAAGTCCAAATTGCTTCCTTTGGAAGTGTATTTGCTTTTTAGAATCTAATGAAACATCATAGAAGTTTCCAATACAAAGAAGAACCAGAGTGGTAAAACAGTAGAGGGTGGGCCTGTCTTGTGAATGGTGAACTAAATCCAATAGTACAATCACATAGTCCTTCCAGAATTTAAATGTTTTACTATAATTTCCTAATTTAAAATTGTGTAATTTGTTCAAAAGGAAATAGAGTACTTCCCCAGGTTTTATTATTACTCATGTTTAACTTTACCTGTTTTACTACACTGTACACTGATAGGTGTTTATCATGTAGCAGGTACTTCCTAAATTAAATTTGTGTAATCCTCATAATAAACTATGAGTATTATTATTCCTGTTTTATGAGCAAGAAAACTAAGACCCAAAGAAGTCAGTACGGCTTTTGGATCTCTCTGTTTGAATCAAATCTCATGCTTTCCTTTTAGCCTCTACATCTTTATATAATTTTTAAATTATATTTTCATTTTTTTTTACTGTGTATGAGTGTGTATTGGCATGCATCTGAGCATGGCCACACTCTGTGAGGACCAGAGCACAGCTTTGTGGATGTGGTTCTCTCTTGTCTTGCTTTTGAGGTGATTGGTCTCGCGTACTGTTCCTGTTGCACCACTTACTCTAGGCTGGCTGGTGAGCGATGCTGGGTGGTACTTCTGTCTCCACATCTGGCTTTTTACATGGGCTTGGGGGGATTGAACTCATGTCACCAGGCTTTCACCACAACCACCTTTACCCACAGAACCATCTCAACGACCCTGTGTCTTTTTATATCAAATGATGTTAGCTCTAACCTCTTCAAGTTGCTTCAAAGGTGATGGAACGTGTAAACGCTCTAGAAATGCGCTTGCACAAAATAAAGTCTCAAGTAACTATTGTTGCATGGTAGTTGTTTAGCTTATTTGCACTTCTAAGTGAAAGTCTACTTTATAATTTTCATTTTTTTCTTATTTATTTTATTATTATTAAAACATTTTCTATCCACTTTACATACCAACCACAGATCCTCCCCCTCTTCCCGTCCCCCAGATTTTCCCTCAACCCACCCCCCATTACCACCTCCCCCAAGTCAAGGTCTCCCATGGGGAGTCAGCAGAGCTTGGCACACTCAGCTGAGGCAGGCCCAAGCCCCTCCCCGCTGCATCAAGGCTGCGCAAGATGTCACACCCTAGGCACTGGGCTCCAAAAGCCTGCCCATGTACCAGGGATGGATCCCAATTCCCCTGCCTGGGGGCCTCCTAAACAGTTCCAGCTAAACAACTGTCTCACCTATCCAGAGGGCCTAGTCCAGTCCTATGCGGGTTCTACAGCTATTGGTCTACAGTTCATGGCTCTCCACCAGTATTGCTATTCCTCTCTACATGTTTTCTCATCATGATCTCGATGTCTCCTGCCCACAGAATCCCTCCTCTCTCTCATCGGTTGGATTCTTGGAGCTCGGCCTGGCACCCGGTGGTGGATCTCAGCATCCACTTCCATCAGTAACTCAAAGAAGGCTCTGTGATGATAGGGTATTCATTAATCTGGTCACCAGAGTAGACCAGTCCAGGCACCCTCTTGACCATTGCCATTAGTCCAAGGTGGGGTCATCCTTGTGGATTCCTGGGAACTTCCCAGCACCCTGCCTCTTCCTGTTCCCATGATGTCTTCATTTATCCTGGTATCTCTTTCCTTGCTCTGCCACTCTGTCCCTGTTCCAGCTCAACCTCCCATTTCCTTATGCTCTCATCACCCATTCTTTGCCCTCCATTACCCACCCCCTTACTCCCAGTTTGCTCATGTAGATCTCATCTATTTCTCCATCGCTGGGCAATCTGTGTGTCCCTCTTAGGGTCCTCCTTGTTAGCAAGCCTCTCTGGAGCTGTGGGTTGCAGTCATGTAATCCTTTGCCTGACATCTAGTATCCACTTATGAGTGAGTCCATACCATGTTTGTCCTGCTGAGTCTGGGTTACCTCACTCAGGATGATATTTTTTAGTGAAACAATGATATCATGAAATTTGCAGGCAAATGGATGGAACTAGAGTTTCTTTTCAATTCTGGGTCTTCTGTATTTTCTTTTCCTCGTATAGGAGTCCCAACTCACAACCAAGGAAGTCCATCACCTTTACCCAAACCAAAACAAGCATAGGGAAAGGATATCCTGGTGCAACTCAAAGCAGAATGGGCATGTCAAGAACTACTGTTTCCGTGCCGGGGATGAAGCCGGCAGAAAAACTGAGCATTCTGGGCATGAAGACAGTACAGGTAACATTCTTTTTTTTCCCCAGAACATTTTTGTTATGTTTACTTACCTAATTTGTGTGTACACATGTGTGGGCATATACACCCTGGCACTGGTGTGCAGGTCTGAAGACAACAAGCGAGAACTGTCTCTCTTCTTCCCCCTTGCGGGTTCTTGAGATCACACTCAGATCTTTAGGCTTGGCGGCAAGCACCCTCATCCCCTGAGCCACCCTGCTGGCCCCACAGGTAACTTTTTTTTTTTTTTAGAATTCTGAGTTGTGTGGGGTTTTTGTTTGTTTGTTTGTTTTTTAAGATTTATTTATTTAAAATTATGTGCAAGGAGGGATGTGCACATGAGTGTAGGTATCTCCTGAAGAGGGTATCACATTCCCAGGAACTAGAGTTATGGGCAGTTGTGAGCTGCCCGATGTGGGTTCTGGGGACTAAACTCTGGTCTAACTGCAGGAATAGTGGTACGGGCTCTTAACTCCACTGAGCCAGCTGTCCAGCCCCTGAGTTCATTTCTAAATAATTATGATCTCCCTCCTCTTGGCAGCTGTCAAGAGTTACAGATTGACGGGACTGTTGTTTTTTCTCTCAAACTCCAGTAAAATTGTCCTTGCGTTTCAGTGTGTACCAGGGTGAACGTGTGATGGTCTGAGGACAACTTGCAGGAGTCAGTCCACCCCAGAGCACCAGCATGACAAGGAGGACCTGTACCCACCATGCTGTTTCATTAGCCCAGCGGCACCATTTGAAAGCCAAAACAGCTGGGAGGTGGTAGCTCAAGCCTTTAATGTCAGCACTTGGGAGGCAAAGGCAGGCAGAACTCTTTGAGATAGAGGCTGGCCTGGTCTACAGAGTGGGTTCCAGGGTAGCTAGGGCTACACAGAGAAAATCTGTCTTGGAAAACCAAAAAAAGAAAAGAAAGAAAAGAAAAACAAACTGGAAAATACACAAATGCCCATGGATAGATAAATAAAACATGATACAGTCACACAGTGAAATACTGTATAACAGTGAAATGAATAATCTGTGGCTATAGTCAGTAATACAAATGAATCTTACTTGAGTAATAGTGAACAAAAGAAACCAGTATCAAAGACTCCATTTCATATGGCTTCATCTAAGTGAAGTTTACAAGCTAAACTAATGTGATGTCAAAGCAATTCCTACTTTGGATGGAAGATACTAGCTCTCCTGAAAGAAACTTCTGGGGTGCTGGTAAATTTCTGTTCCTAAATCTGATTGTTGAGTACTAATAGTGCTAGTTGGTTAGAGAATTCACTAGGTTGTAAGCTCCATGCATTCTTTTTTGTGTGTGTATTCTATGGAAATTAAAAAAAAATTAGTGATACTTAGAGTTATGAACAGGAAGAAGGAAAAGGATTGTGAATGTGAAGTAATTAGTAATTATCACTGTGAAGAGAGAGGTTTTGATCCATATGGACCAAGGCCAATAGTAGCTGGAGCAGGGGGTGGGGGTGGGGGTGTAGCAGTGTTTTACTATTTTTGTTTGATCACATTTTTTATAATTTTGTATAACTATAAAATCAAATTTTGTAATTGAAGGGAATAAAACTAAGACCAAAATATGTAATAAATAAATTAGGAAATATTAGTAGAAGGCTATTAGAATATTTATTTAAAGTATCTTGTATTTGACAATTTCAGTAAAGTGACAGGATGCATGCACACTTGAAATCATTAGCCTTCTGCTATACCAGTGACAAGCAAACAGAAAAAAATCAGAAACAATCCCACTTACAATAGCTTTCCAAAAGTGCCTAAACATCAGAGATCCCAGTTAGTTACAGCAATCCTGAGCAAAAATAACACTGCTGAAAGCATGACCATACCCAATCAGTTGATACTGCAGAGCCCTAACATCATGGACAGCATGGTACCAGCACAAAACGGACACATGGGCCACTGGAGTATAACAGAGGACCCAAGTCCAAGGTAGTACAACTGTAGCCACCTAGTTTTGACAATGGTGGCAAAAATATGCACCGGAGAAAAGATAGCCCCTTGAAAAAGTGCTGGGGAAACTGAACAGCTATGTGTAAAAGATTGAAACAAAATCATCTTGGACAAAACTCAGCTCCAAAGGGATTGATGAGTTCAACATAAGACCTGGAACTCTGAAAGTACAGGGGAAAAAGAGTAGGAAGTTTACCTCAAGATACAGGCATCAGTAAGGACATTCTGGATTACAATTACCCAAGAAATGAGGCCAATAATCCACAAATGGAATCTCATAATTTCCAACAAAGGAAACTGTCGAGTGAAGAGGCGCTCTAAAACGGAAGAAAATCTTTGCCAAATATACGTCTAACAGAGGGTTAATAGCCAGCATATGTAAAGAACTCACAGAACTAATTATCAAGAAAACAACCCAATCTAAAACTTAGAGTGGGTGTATGGAACTGAACAGAGACTTTTTTTTTTAGTTGGGAGATTTGAATTATTTCAATCTCACTAGTTTTCATTGATCTGTTTAACTTGTTGGTCTCTTCTTGTTTTAATTTGGCAAGCTATACGCATCTACAAACTCATCCATTTATTTCCGGTTTTCCAGTTCAGTGGAGGATATATTTTCAAGATAAAACTGAGGCTGTTTTGAATTTTATTGGTATCTATTGTAATTGTTCCCTTTGCATCTCTAATTTTGTTTGGGTTTTCTCTCTTTCTTTTGGTTAGTTTAGCTAAGAATTTGACAAATCTTGTTCATCGTTTCAAAGAACCAGTACTTTCTCTGTTTATTTTTTGGGAGAACACCTGTCAGTTGGTGAGAGCGGGGTATTGAAGTCACTCACTACTCTTGTGCCAGGATTAATTTGTTGCTTTGTATAGACTAGTATTTGTTTTATGAAATTGGGTGTTCCTGTGCTCAGGGAGTCTGTGTTTAGAATTATAATGGTCTCCTGATGGTTAGTGTACAGTGGCTGCTTTTATCAAGAGTTTGGGTCTGAAGTCTTTCAGAACAGCAACATCTGCTTCCTAGGTCCATTTTCTTTCAATTCTTTTTCCCATCCTTCCACACTAAGGTGGGTAGGTCTCTTTTGTGGTTAGGTGGGTTTCTTGGGGGCAGCAAATAGACAGTTCCTGCTCTTTGATCCAGTCTGTTAGTCTGTGTCATCTGATTGAGGAAGTTGAAGCCATTAATAGTCACAGTTACTATTGAAAGATGTTCACTCTTCTTGTCATTTTGTTGATTTTGTAATGTTTAGGTCCCCTCCCCAACTATTATTCTAGCGTGGTTTATTTTTTTTTCCCTGTGGTCTTGTGGATGGATTTGTTTTTTCTCTTCAGTCCAAAAGATTCCTTCATGTGTTATTATTGTTTTTTTTTTTCTTTTTTTCCTTTGAGATAAGGTGTCTCTGTGTAGCCTATCCTGGAACTCACTCTGTAGACCAAGCTGGCCTCAAATTCAGAGATCCACCTGCTTCTGCCTCCCGAGTGCTGGGATAAAAGGCATGCACCTCTACTGCCCAGGACTTTATGTATTTTTGTAGAACTGGCATGGTGATCATAAATTCCTTTAATCTTTTTTTTTAATGGAAAGTTTTCATTTTTCCTTCAATTATGGTAGTCTCTGTTGCAGTGGTTCTTAACCTTCCTAATGCTGTAACCCTTTAATACAGTTTCTCATGTTGTGGTGACTCCCAACCACAAAGTTATTCCATTGCTACTTCATAACTGTAAATTTGCTACTGTTATGAATTGCTGTGAGATAATGCTTTTGTACACTGGTTTAATAAAACGCTGATTGGCCAGTAGCCAGACAGGAAGTATAGGCAGGATAAGCAAACAAGGAAAATTTTGGGAAAATGAAGGCTGAGGGGCCACCAGCCCACCGTCCAGGGAGCAGCATGTAATGTCACACAGGTAAAGCCACAGAACATGTGGCGACATATAGATGAACAGAAATGGGTTGAGTTTAACTGTAAGAGCTAGTCAGTAGTAAGGCTGAGCAGTTTTAATTAATATAAGCCTCTGTGTGTGTGTTTACTCGGGGGACACGAGTGGAAGAGATTTGTCCCTACCACCAGCAGGCCGGGGCACAGGAAAACTTCCAACTACAATGAATCATAATGCAAATCTCTGATATGCAGGATATCTGATATGTGAGCCCTGTGAAAGGGTCATTCAGCCCCTTAAGGGGTCAAGACCCATAGGTTGAGAACGGTTGCTTTATTGGATTTGTTCTGTTTCAGATCTTGTAATAGGTCTGCCTAGGCCTTTCTGGCCTTTAACTTTTAGCTGAATGGCCTGCTGTCATTCTGATGAGCCTGCCCTGGTGTGGGACTGGGAGTTTCCCTCTTGCTGCTTCTAATATACTTTTGTATATTAAACTCCTCTTGCATCAACACCTTCCATTTACTTCTGTGTAGTTAGTGTTTTAACTATGATGTGATAGGGGAGACTCTGTTCTATTTTATTTGTTTGGTGACTTAGCTTCCAATATCTGTTGACATCTCCTTCTTGACTAAAGTTGTTTTGGTTGATCCTTTAAAAAGTGTTTCCTGAGAGTCAATAAAGAACATAGAATAAGTATCTAAATTTGATTTCACTTAGAATTTTTTCAAGGAGTTGCCATGACTTATTTATAGGCAAATGGACATAGTTTTTTTTTTTTTAATTTTTATTTTGCAATACAATTCAGTTCTACATATCAGCCACGGATTCCCTTGTTCTCCCCCCTCCTGCCCCCCTCACCTTCCCCACAGCCCACCCCCCATTCCCACCTCCTCCAGGGCAAAGCCTCCCCCGCGGACTGAGATCAACCTGGTAGACTCAGTTCAGGTAGGTTCAGTCCCCTCCTCCCAGGCCGAGCCAAGCGATCAGAATATAAGCAACAATTGGAATTATCATGTGAAAATATATACCAAATTGTAAATAGAGTCTTTAAGTTGACCTACTAAGGTCTGATAAAGAGGATGTAGTACCACACTTGAAAATGGGTACCTCTTCTTATCCATGACAAGTCATGTAAATTTTCTGTAATAGCCACACTTCCTTTTGTTTGTCAATAATTGACTAATAAATGATTCCTTTCTCAAAAAAAAAAAAAAAAGTGTTTCCTGACCTGGCTGTGGTGGCGCAAGCCTTTAATCCCAGCACTTGGGAGGCAGAGGCAGGCAGATCTTGGTGAGTTCGAGGTCAGCCTGGTCTACAGAGTGAGTTGTAGGATAGGCTCCGAAAGCTACACAGAAACTGTGTCTCAAAAAACCAAAAAACAACAAAAAAAGTGTTTTCTGTGGTTTTGGAACTTTATCCTTATTCTTCTGTGCCTGTCATCCATACATTTGCTGTCTCTGAGTGTCCCATGTGTCTCAGAATTCTCACTCTTGTATCTTGGCCCCTTTTTGACCCCTTTAGTTCGTCCCCTTGCCCTCAAGCTCGGCTGTTCTGTCAACTCCTTGTCTGTTCTATTAGTGAGCCTTCCCATGGGCTCTTTATTTGACGCAGGTTTTTTCATTTCCACAGTTTCAGATTGGTCTCGCCTCAGTCTTTCCAGCTCTTTGTTGAAGTCCTATTTCATCTCTTGCAGCACCTCCCTTACTTCATCCATTTGTTTATGCTTTCAATCAGGAGCTTATTTTCTTCCTTCAGCATATGTACCTTCTTTCAAGTTCCTTGGCTAGGATTCCACCTGTCTCACTCTTGCTAGATGCCATTACTATAGAATTCGTAATTTTGGGACGAGTTGTGTTGTGTTGGTTACTTCATTGGGGTGTATATATCTGGTGTTATTTAATCAACCACATTTTTTTTTCAGTTAAAGTATTTGCTGTGTTCATGTGGAATTTGGATATGATACAGTTGAGTGCGTAGTTCAGCATAAAGTTCCTTGGTCCAGGAGCTGAGTGCTTGGTGTAAAGCATTGTATTATTCCCTGCCCAGAATATTAACTGCAAGAGCAATCTCAGCTGCTTGATATTCCCACTCTGCAAATGTCATACTAGCCAGTAGTCACATTGGTGCCTTTGATTCCAATAATCATTGGAGGATAAATAATCAAGAATAATATGGCATAGACTCAGGATTAAGTATTAATCAGACTTGGAAAAGGAAAATAAAAACGAGGTGGGTAAAGGAAGTAGGAAAGGAAGTTGAGAGACTGTTATGGTCCACAGATTTTAGACATTGTTAAGTTGTGGACGGTTATAATTGAGAAGTAAATGGGGAGAGGATAGGATGAGAGAAGGAAGAGGATGGCTATATTCAATGTCCTGAAGAGTACAGTAAAGAATATCTTAGAGTAAGCTGGATGGAAACATAAACAATTGTCCTAAGACCTGAGCAATATACAAACAAAAGCAAAACTGTCAGGAGACATATACATGAGACTGGAAGTAAACTGATTAAAAAATAGGGAATAAAAAGATTAATGTTTTAGTTACTTTTCTCTTGCTTTGATAAAACACCATGATCAAGGCAACTTATGAAAAAACCCTCTATTTGGGCTTGTGATTTCAGAGGTTTGTAGTCCATGGTGGCAGAGTGAAGGAACAGCCTAGAATTGACATCTTGATCCACAACCACAAGGCAGAGCAAGTACTGGGAATCCCAGGAGTCTTTTGAAACCTCATCTCGTACACCCAGTGACACACCTGCTCCAACAAGGCCACACCTCGTAATCCTTCCCAACCGTTCCACCAAGTGGGAACCATATATTCAAACACGAGCCTAGGGGGGCCATTCTCATTCAGACCGCCACAGCACCTGTGGAGCGAATTGCTGGCACAGCTGTGCTGAGCTGAGGGTCTCAGGTCCCTCTGGCTTTAGCACGCTTCACTTGGTACTATGCTGAAAATAGTTTCTTCAAGCCTATGTTTATAATATTATATAGACCAAAGTATTAACAATATAAATAGAGTATGGTTCTATTTTTCTGACTGCTCTATGTTTTAACATTAGAGTGTAGTATTACTTTTTAAAGCTTTACTATAAAAAAGTTTTCTGTAGCTGGGCGTGGTGGCATACGCCTTTAATCCCAGCACTCAGGAGGCAAAGACAGTTGGATCCCCGAGTTCAAGGCCAGCCTAGTCTATAGAGCAAGTTTTAGGACAGCCAAGACTACATAAACTGTCTTGGAAAACCAAAAACAAACAAGCTAATTAAATAAGTAATTAATTAAAAGGTTTGTTGTCATGCCAGCAGCTTCTATATGCATCTTGTCACTTTTGATTACATCAAGAGGCCATGTCAAGTGATTGGCTATACCATCCAGGTTCCTCTAAGGGTATTTACTGTATGCTGCTAAGTAACAGAAATCAGCTAACATTTTCAAGTCATATCTCTGTATTTATTACTTGTATATAGGTACATGAGTAAGATTTTTTTGTTTTGCCTAGTAAAACTTCAAGCATAAAATTTTGTATCATTAGAGTTTTTATGTTTATCTTGTCCTAAGAACATTATACTTAATATTTTTCTGCTATACATATTTCTGTTCTCTAGGAGTTAGAAACCTCTTCTTGTCTGGTTATTCACTTTAAATGACCATTTTCTACAGGTGTTTGATGCAAGAGGAGTTGATGTTACTCCCCGACCTCTCTACCGTCCAGATCCACATACTGGAGCAGCAAAACCAAGTAAACTCTTGACGTCACAAGAAGGATCACTTGGATCAGAATTTATTTCTTCCTATAGCCTGTATCAGAATACAGTCAACCCTAGTATGCTAGGGCAGTTTACAAGGTGAAGTACACTGGCCCTAGTTCTTTTCATTTCAACTTATATTGTTCTTCCATTTATATTGCATACATCCAGAATATATACGCGTCCAGTTTTCTAACTTCAACCCATCAATCCTAGTGTTCTAGCTTTTATGTTTTAATTATATTCATGTTCAGAGCTAGACTGAAGATTTCCCACAGATTCCAAAACATTGTGAAAGTGTGTAGATTTTACTTAAGATTACCCAAGGAACCAAAAGAAAGGACTAACTTCACAGTTGGTTGCAAATTCCAGTTAGCTACTTTGCCCCTGTTTCTTTGGATTTTGTTGCTGTCAGTTAAAATACAGTGCAGTCACACTGCTCTAGAGCCTGCACTCAATACACACATGAAACGTGAAAGGCCAGATGAGAAACAATGGATCTTCCAGTAAAGTTAACCTCTTGGTAAACAATTGAAACCATAAAGGTAAGATGTTACAGAGTAAAGTTATGATCGTTTGTTTAAAATTTATTTTTGAATTCTTCTGTCCATTTCCTGCTGTAAGTATATATCCCATGTGAAAGCTTTTCCTGGGGAGATGTAGCACACATCTACTCACCCCAGAAAGGGAACCCATGACTGAACAAAACTAATGATCTCATCAAAGTCCAACGTGATGAGACGTGAGTTTTTTTATTGGTGTTACTAACAGGAGTGGGGTGAAGGGAGGCTTACAGGAATAGGGATGACTCAGAAAAGCGTCTGCATTACAGAAAAGCAGCTCCCACATGGTGACCACAAGCCACTCTCCTGAGCTCTCTGCACAACACGTAGGCAGCTCTAGTCCCAGAATCTCTTCCCTCCTTAGTTGAGATGCTCAGTCCCCTCTCCAGCAGTTGTTTACTCCTCTTAAGCTGGGGAGGGACCTTTGAGACTCTTCCAAGTGACTGTTTTTTCCAGGCATGACCTTTTATTTACCTCCTGAGTCTCATGAAGTTTTCCCCACCCCGCTGCGTAGGGAAGGTTTCCATTTGCACAGTAGCTATGTTTTAAGTCACCTTTCGAGAGGAGGAAACCAACCGCAGTACAGTGTAGCTGTGTCTTGTTACCTTTTGAGAGGACTTTTGTAAAATTGAACTTTTGAGATGAGTTGTGAAGGATGCCCAGAAAACACATGAGAAGCAAAGGGAAGAGTATTCTTGGCTGAGGCCCTAAACAAACTCCTAGGATGGAGGCACTTGGACACCCAACAGCAAAATGATGAGAAGTGATAATGAAAATGGAGTCTGCGAGGGAGCTGTATTTTAGATATTCATTCAAAATATACATTGGGAACACACTGATGGCCTCTGGATATAGATTTGATACGTTATTCAAAGTATATTTTCACTTTTTAAAGAACATGAAAGATTAACGGAAGATTTAAAAGTTATTTTGATTTACGTTGCATAATCTAGTATATTTGGTTTTTCTGTCTGTTAATGTAGTTTGATTTACACTTTTAGCTTCTCATAAGGCCATTGAACCAATGTGTTAATAACTTTCAAAGGTCAATCATGGGGAACAGCACACAGTCGAAGTCCAGTGTGTCCACAACTGAATCAATAACAGAGGACCTAGAAGAACCAGCTTACAAGAAGGAAAGGCTGGCTAGTTTTGCAGGTAGTAAAAACATTTTTTTTTTTTTTTTTTTTTTTTTTGGTTTTTCGAGACAGGGTTTCTCTGTGTAGCTTTGCGCCTTTCCTGGAACTCACTTGGTAGCCCAGGCTGGCCTCGAACTCACAGAGATCCGCCTGGCTCTGCCTCCCGAGTGCTGGGATTAAAGGCGTGTGCCACCACCGCCCGGCTTAAACATTTTTTTAAATCTTACAGTTTTAATATATTTTCAATGGTTTAACCCCCCACACTGAAATTGCCATTGTTTGTAACATTTGTAAAACCTAGATTATTTTGTCACAGTGTGTATACCATTTTAAGATTAATTTCTTAATTGTGCCTGAAAGCAGATAGAAAGGAACTAAGGACCTGTCTCAGTGGGAGAACATTTGCCTACATGGAAGGCCCTGAGTTTAGTCCTTACCAATGAGAGTCCCCTCTCGTGTGTGTGTGTGTGTGTGTGTGTGTATGTGTGTGTGTGTGTGTGTGTGTGTGTGTGTGTGAGAGAGAGAGAGAGAGAGAGAGAGAGAGAGAGAGAGAGAGAGAGAGAGAGAGAGAAACCTAAAGAGAAACTCCCATTTTTCCTGTACATGTAGATACACGTCAACACTTGGAAATCGTTATCATTCTTTTGAAGTGTTTATTTTATGTGTATGGGTGTTTTGCCTGTGTGCATGTCTGCAGTATGTGTGTGCGGTGCCTGCAGAAGCCAGGGGAGTACATTGGATCCTTTGGAACTAGAACTACAGACCATCATGTGTCTCCCTGCGCATGCTGGGACGTGACCCTCAGTTCATCTGCGAGTGGTAGTAGCCACTGAGCATCCTTCCAGCCCCTCATCCTTTTTTATCTTGAGTTGCCAGATGAATAATCATAGTCTTTACATAAATAAGGGTCTGTTTGTGAAGTAATTGAGTGCTTCGCTCTTAGCTTTGTCTACTGTTCTTCAAGAAAAGTAGCGTTAGGGCCCTTTAGAGAAATAGCTGATTTCTGGGTCTTGGGCAGATATAAGATGAGCAAGAAAGTAAAAAAAAAAGTGCTTGGGCAAAACCCTGCCTCTCCCCACCCCACCCCCACCCCCAAAAAGAATGAGAGGGACACAGCAGCCATTAGTGTTTCCGTTAGCCAAAGGCAGACAGGTTCAACAGCAGGAAGCATAGTGCTCATTAGCAGTGTCCGTGAGCCCATACTTAGATATATGATAAAGGGTAGAGTAGAGAAGCATTTTAATTCCTGTGTAGATATTTGTCCTTCAAGGTGGAGCTTTCCTATCCTCTTACATGTGGGCTTTGCACCATGACTTTCTCCAGACTACAGTGTATGAAAACAGAAACTAGTCTCAGCTAAGTGGTGATGACATCAACAAGAAGTCATGTCGATAGCCTTGATGAGCCATAAGATGAGACTTTACTCCTCTATTTCCTTCCAGAAACCTAAACGGAAGCATGTTCTACATGTATGACCAATACCCCTCAGTCTTCTAACTCAGGAAACTGCCAAAGTCTAGGAAAACCTAAGGGACAGGATGATCAAATGTGGTGTTTTGGCTGATATTTTGGAATGCATTATGAGTTTTTAGATGACATTAAAGATGAAGCAGACTGGAATAAAAGATGGGCTTCAGATGAGGAAGTATCACTGTTGGTCCATTAGCTGCACTAGGTACACCATATGAATGCTTCCAGTGGGGAACCACTGAGTGCAGGTTGTACTCAACCACTAATATTCTTACATTGTCTACACCTTGAATATTCTAAACAGAAAGAATTGCTCTAAACGATCTTAAAATCTTTCACACACCTTCTGGGTGTTCTGCCGCATGCACTTTTCAGAGCCAAAAGGAGGCTGATGCTTGGAAATGCTTGGAGTTTTATTTGTATGATGGAGCAGCATGTTAGGCACAGACTGTTGCTTGCTCAGCACAGAGATAAATGAGTAATAGATAATTTTACATGAACTCATAAAGTACCCGTGGTTAGCTCATATGTGTTTGTGAGGAGAGAGAAGCACTATTTTATAACTCCATCTGATTGTAATTGCATGGGACTCATTGTAGCTAAACAACAGCTTGAGGAAGGCTTCATGGATTCTTCCTTACTGAGGACTCTTCGTGTGACCAGGTAATATATCTTTTTCCTTACCCAGTTTTGAATTAATTGAAAAACACAGGGTAAGGGCAGATATGCTGGAAACAAAACGCTACATTATGAGTAGAAGTGCTTTTGAAGCTTCAAAGGTGATAGGTCTCATCCATTCACTAAATGCTGTAGACTACTACAGAGTCTTTCCTGTCCCTCTGGAGGGGCTTCCCGTGTGAAGATGTAAAAGGGAACCATGATTGCTCTACACAGCTAGAGATCTCTTGAAGAACATCATGGGTGGAGAAAGATGAGCTTCCTCTGTCACTGAAAGCAATAAGTGCATTGATAGGTATCTTGGTAAAGATGCCAACGTAGTTTCCATCGATTGTTAAGAACAGTCTGGAGCCTGTGATCATGATGCATGAACTAGATTCCATAGGTACATAGTGCTGCTTGAATTCGCTTTTTTAATGTTTCAAATTCAGGTAACGTTCAGGAGATAATAGATCTGCACAAAAGTCCAGTTGCTGTTCTGTAGTTTTGTCTGGGTAGTGCGCTCCTCTGCCATTAAAGAAGACTTCTTTTCCCCAAGTCTAATACATAACTGATGTTGTCACATTAGAGTCCATATGTGTGCTATATCTCGTGCGAGGTTGTTTTTAGAACTGTCTGGGCTGCAAGGCTACTTTATATATAGCCGAGTCATTAACCAACATCTGATGCTCTAAAAGAGTAGTCAAAGGATTAAGAGCCTGTTCTTTTCAGTCTCCAGATTCCCTGTGTTCCTGTGGAGCATTAGACATCTTACTCCTCTTCTTTTCTTCATTGATGCTGTAGGAAATCTGAACTAGATATACCTCAGACCTGTCCATGTGGACAATTCGTTTACTTCTTTTTGCTTATCCTATCTTAGCCAGATTACTTATTTAAATCTTGTCTTTATTTTAAAATCTATTACAGAGCAGATTATTTTTAAGAATCCTTAAGAAGGGCTTCCAATTGAAGACTTCTTTCCTGACCTTTATTTTATGTCATTGTAACTACAATGTAGACTGTGTTCTGGGCTAGTCTTCACTTAGATTTGTAGCGCAAACATTTCCATAGTATCTTAAAAATACATGTATTAGAATTTCATGCATGGATGAGAATGTGTTCCTATATATAACCATTCCAGATGTTGGTTGTTTTTTTAAAAGATACTTATACTTTTTTTTTTTTTAGATTTTTAGGAGGTTGTTTTTCTCAGGTCCTGAGCATTAAGAGGAGACTGAGTCTTCATCATACTCTTGCTTTATTGTCCTAAAGCAAGTCAAACTTGACCTGTTATAGTCTTGTGCATCCCCGCTTTCTCCTCTTTTGATAAGAAAAGCACACAGAAGCCTGGTATGGTCTGTGCCTGTAATGCCAGTACACTGGACATGGAGACAGAAGGGCTGCAGGCTAGAGACCAGCTTGGGCTATATAGTGAGGGCCTGTCTCAAAACCCTAAGCCTTTTGAACCATGACCCATATGCCACATCAAGGGTTTTTCTTGCCTGTAACCCATTCCAGGCTTTCTCATCTCTGAAATTCTATCCTTAGTAAAATTCTCCTATTTTAAAAATCTCTCACTATTCTCAAGATTTGGACCAATCTTATTTGTGTGAAAACTGAGATTGTATCATACCTATGGTCAACCAGACCTGTTGAAAAGTCCTATGTCTCTTGTTGAAGATGATTAAAGGTGGGCTATAAAAAAAAAAAAAAAACAACCAAACAAAATAATCAGTAAGGCTGCTGAGGCCCCAAAGGGTCAGGTGCCTTTCCCAATACACATGCCCCTAACTTCCTTCGCAGTAGCACCAACAACTACCTCAAAATCCCTAGTCAGAGAACAGGGTAACTGTAACAGGATTGCCTTTGGGGCTGTGCCCAGAGGTCTGAGACTAGGCTAGCATTGAAACCTGTAGCAGCAAAGCAGGCTGTTATGGGTTTTTCCAGTTGTTTCACAGAGGTTAAATAGAGCACTGTTTAAAGATACTTGCTATGTGTGTGTGTGTGTGTGTGTGTGTGTGTGTGTGTGTGTGTGTGTGTGTGTGTCATTGTTTCTTAGTGACTAGGCAGTTTGCACACTCACTGTGTGTGTGTGTGTGTGTGTGTGTGTGTGTGTGTATGTGTGTGTGTGTGTGTGTGGTCACTGGGTCTTAGTGATTCGGAAGTGTGCACACTAGCAGCTCCAGGATGATATTACTATGGCATGTATTTCAGATGTGCGAGTTCTGAGGACCACACCTGAAACAGCTCTAACAAAGGAGGAGCTGGAGAAGGACATACAGATCATCCTTACAGAGACAGAAATGCTGAGATTTTTTGATCTGCCAACAGTCACGTTCGCAGTAGACTCCGAAGAAGCTGAGAAAATAGTGTGTGTGTGGTTCAGTTGTCTATATTACTTCTGCATAGCTCAGGTGCCGAACTAGAGGTTCTTGTTCTTTTGAAGAACCCTTGGAGATTTCTAGGAATGTGCCCTTGAAATTATATCCATACTCTGTGATCTTACGTGGGTATGTTTATATCACATGTCATTTTTCTATGGGAAAGGTCTTTATCTTTAGCATAGCCTGCGTAATTATGGGAAATTCTGAAGAAGAAAGGGCAATGGTCAGCAGGTCCAAAGTTCTAGTGTCCTGTCACAGCTGTGCGACCACAGTTAATATATGTTACAAAATAGCCAGAAGAGACGATTTGGGGCTCCCCACAAAGGATAAATGCTTGAGGTGGAAGATATGTTCTTTCCTGTGATTTACTAAACTCAGTACATGCACATATCCAAAGCACGAGGGCCCAAGTTAGAGTCCCAAGAGCCCACATAAGAAAGCTGTGTGGTTGGTATGGGAGGCCTGGAGACAGGAGGACTGCAAGGATTTGCTGACTGCTGGCCCAACTCCAGGGATTAAAAGAGTGACAGGCCACCTGACATTCTCCTCTGGCCTCCACGTACCGTCACCCACATATATATGTGTATTTACCACACATACATTTAAATAACTGACACATACAACAATAATAAATAAATACATTAAAAATGATTCCCTCAGATTGAAGTTGATAAAAAATATACCAAATCAATAAAAAGACAAGATGTCATTAAAGGATAAACAACAGATCCTAAATTCAGACTCTGAGGATGTTAGAGCTATGGTATGATTGGATATAAAATGCAAAATAGTTGTGAAATGTTTCAGCAATTAAGATGGTTAAAACATTTACATTAAGAAGCTCTGAATGACACATTTGGATAAGAACTTTATGCAACTGTCAAAAAAGCAAACGTTGGTTTAAATATAATTGAGTAAAGATTAAATGGCTGAAAAAATAGGTCTGAATACACAAAATGAAATGTAAAAAGAAAATGGATCATAAAAATAATGGTCTAGAATGTCAGTGTTTCAAACACGCACAGTACAAATCAGAGAGGACTGTTCAGAGTGAGGGAGGCTGTCCTGAGCTGCTAACAGACTCATGTATAGAAGTAAAAATGAGGCCGGGCGGTGGTGGCGCACGCCTTTAATCCCAGCACTTGGGAGGCAGAGGCAGGTAGGTCTCTTTGAGTTAGAGGCCAACCTGGTCTACAGAGCGAGATCCAGGAAAGGCGCAAAGCCACACAGAGAAACCCTGTCTCGAAAAACCAAAAAAAAAAAAAAAAAAATGAAATCAACAGAAACATCCTCAGTGCATTGGGCTGACAGGCCTGAAAACCAAATATAAAGAGAAGAAGGCTTTTTCAAGGTTTATTTCTATTTGAGTGTGTGTGTGTGAGAGAGAGAGAGAAAGAAACTCCGCTATGTGTATGTAGGTGCTAGGAGAGGCCATAAGAGGGCGTGACATTTCCTAGAACTGGAGTTACATGTGGTTGGAGCTTCCCAGTGTGGATCCTGGGAGTCAAACTCGAGGCCCTCCGGAGGAATAGCAAAAGAAGATTTTTTAAGTAGAAGAAAATATAGCGAAAAAAAATACAGAACCTTTAGAAAAGCAGACAGACTATTTAGGGAAGATCACTTCATAACAAAAGGGGGGTATAACAATTTTAAATTAAAATTTCAAAGTGGAACTTTTCTTTGACTGCACTGAAATGAAAAATTAGTAAATTCCAACTAAGGCATTCACATACACACTGGGAGGCTAGAAAACATTTTCTAGATTAATGAAATTAAAATGTGAATTTAAAAATACTTATAACTAGGCAGTGGTGGCACACACCTTTAATCCCAGCACTGCAGAGGCAGAAGCAGGCGGCTCTCTGTGAATTCAAGGCAAGTCTGGTCTACAGAGTAAGTTCCAGGACAGCCAAGGCTGTCACACTGAGAAACCCGGTCTCAGAAAAAAAAAAATTCAAAAATACTTATAACTAACCAGTTATGAAAATAGCATGCACACAGTCCTGCAAAAGTAATAATTTGAAAGAATTTGTAGCTTTAGATGTCTCTATTAAAGTTCAAAAATTCTCTGAACAGACTGATAGCATATTATTGGTGAACACTGAAGGTAGTAAGGACATTTGGAAAGCACAGCATGAAACAGTCCTTTGGTAGCAATATAATGAAATATTTTCCTAAGGAAGTTTTAATGCTCACTTCACATTTTGTTACACTCTGTATTAATGAAAACACTTGACAACATGTAATGTAGAAAGATGATGATATATGTTCATAATCATTTTTATTAATTAGCTACTTTTTGTTTTTCTTACAGAGAGAAAAATGTGAATTATGAAGTCCTTTGTAGAAATAGATTGGGCAATGACTTATATGTGGAAAGGATGATGCAAACATTTAATGGAGCACCAAAGAATAAAGAGGTTCAGTGTGAAAAAATTGTAATGGAAGAAAAAGGTAATTTGTTTTATTACTGTTGGCAAACTGTTATATTTTAATATATGTTCCTGGAGTCTGTCAGTTAACACATGTTAATCTATATAAATAAAAAATGGAAATTGATTCACCCAGATATCAATACTAGTTACTGTAATTTTTAATGTTTAGCATTTGACAAGGTAACAGGAAATAATCATAAAGTTATTTGAGTAACATAATTGTTCAGACTGATTTTTATTCACCCTATATCGGAACTCTGCACTTTTCAATTTATAAAAATTATAGAAAATGATTTTATGATACGGTTTGCTACTGCCACGTACACTTTGTATACTCCACACAACCTTTCCATTCTTCCTGTAGTAACTGGCTTAATGATCAACATAAGGCGACAAAGTAGATCCGATTATTAGCCTCCATTTCATAGATGAGGAAATAGCCATAGAGGAGTAGCCTAAGCTGTTTTTGTCTTAGAACCTGTGCGCTTAGACACTACACTTACCTCCTCTCGATGTTTACAGACTAGCTTTTCTGAGAATCGTGCATAAGCAAAAGCCCTTGGTGTGTGGGCAGAGGAAAAACTAGGAGAAAGAGCATACATAATCTGATTGCAGTTATATTTCTTTTTTAAAGATTAAAAATAAAAACCTCTAGTAAAAAGAAGTATAGTTTTTTGTTGTTGTTGGTTTTGTTTTTGTTGTTTTTTTAAGTAAAAGAGTATTCATGTGTCTTGTAGGTGGGAATATTTATTGCTCACCCCGACACTTCCTTTTATGTGAAAGAGCAAGACTAAATGCTCCAATCTCCTTTTAGTTTTTCCCTCATTCCTGCCTCAGAGCAGAGGTGTGGCTTGCCTGAGTGGTGCATTTGGGAGTACAAATATGGGTGTACCTGGACATCCTGCTGTTTTTCCTTCCCTGGTAGCCTGGTAGCAGAAAGTACAAATTCTTACTAGCATGAAACCCTGGGTTTGATCTGCAGCACTGCATAAATGAAGTGTGGTGCTGCATTCCTGTAATGCCTCTGTTCTCTTGAGGGGAAAGCAGGAGGATCAAGAGTTCAAGGTCACCCTCAGTTGTGTAGCAAGTTCAAGGCCAACCCGAGATACATGAGGACTTACCTTGTAGAAAATAAAAAGTATAATAATGGAAATGAGAATGTGCACTACAGTTTTCAACAGAACATTTAGGAAAGAGGATGGGATATTAATTTTTTTATTTTATTTTTTGTTTTACAATACAATTCGGTTCTACATATCAGCCACGGATTCCCTTGTTCTCCCCCCTCCCGCCCCCCTCACCTTCCCCCAGCCCACTCCCCATTCCCACCTCCTCCAGGGCAAAGCCTTCCCTAAGGACTGAGATCAACCTGGTAGACTCAGTCCAGGCAGGTCCAGTCCCCTCCTCCCAGGCCGAGCCAAGCGACCCTGCATAGGCCCCAGGTTTCAAACAGCCAACTCATGCAATGAGCACAGGACCCGGTCCCACTGCCTGGATGCCTCCCAAACAGATCAAGCCCTCACCCATTCAGAGGGCCTGATCCAGTTGGTGACCCCTCAGCCATTGGTTCATAGTTCATGTGTTTCCATTCGTTTGGCTATTTGTCCCTGTGCTTTATCCAACCTTGGTCTCAACAATTCTCGCTCATATAAACCCTCCTCTTTCTTGCTAATTGGACTCCATAGATCATTACAAAAGTTCCAGTCTGAGGAACAGAAAGGAAAAAAAAAAAACACCTAAGTTTTACCAAAATAGTTGTGTAGGGAACTTTACTGAGTAAAAAGAACTGAGATGCTTCCCATAAGCAGATCTGTAAACTCTAAGCTGTTATATGTTAGCCCCTAGCAAAAACACTCTCTGGGTGTTATCTAAGTCCATATCCCATGACAGGCTGATGGGGTGAGTCTTCCCTGGCCAGGGTGGGAAGGATGGAGAAACAGAGGTCAGATGAGAGTGAGGGTAACCTGGGCTACCCCTAAAACATGAAGGCATTTCTAGATGCTAAGAGTGAGGTGGCTCAGGATCTCCCGAGGTATCCTTGTGAACTATTTCTTCATTATTTTCCTGCCAATACTGCTAAAATTAACATGTTTTTAATAGAAAATAAGTTTAGATTTTTCTATGACCAGTTACGTACAAAGCTGTAATACTAGAATTTGCTTTGAAATCCTTTTGCCTTTTCTGTCCGTTTAGGCATAATGGCCACTGCCTGGGATTTGTACGATTCTTTCAACGATCCCAGAATTCTATCAGCAAAACCATCTACAGTTGGAAGTAAAGGAAGTTTACTTGCTAAAGACCAGGACCAAAATCTAGACGGAAAGTATCATGGGCAAAAGTGAGGCTGCTTTCATTCCAGGGTTTGAAGGATGTCTTCACATAGCATTTTATATTCCTCTGCAGCAGTTATGAAGTTTTCCTGTCCACAGAACATGAAAAGTACAACTTTTTCAGGGATTCTCCTTGTACTTTCACAGCTTCCTGGATTCCAAGCATGAAATTAAGTTTTTTTGTTTTGTTTTGTTTTTTCTTAGACACCAGTTAGGCATTTGTTGTCGTTTGAGACCTGGCCGAGAACTTGCTATGTGCACCGGACTGGCCTCGAACTCACAGAGATCCTCTGAACTCTGACTCTGAGTGCTGGGATTAAAGGCATTTACCACCATGCCGTGCCTTGTTTTTGAGGTTTTTCCCTAGTGCATTTTTGCTTCCTCTCTTTCTAAACTTTTTCCCACACATATGTATACGTATGTGCATGTTTGTTTATGTGGGTGTGCAAATTTATGTGTGTGTGCACTATACCAATGTGAATGGAGGTCAGAGGGCAAACTTGAGTGTGGATCCTCACCTTCCACACTGTTTGAGACAGTTGTGTTATCATTTGCTACTGGGCACTCCGGGCTAGCTGCCTTTAAATTTGAATATGTAAAACATTACATCTTCAATATTTGTTTTCTAGTTTTGTTTCATTTTCATTTATTTTTTTTTTACTACCTTCTTGGTAGTTACTCCTTTTTTTGGTTCCTTTTAACTTGTGTGTGTGTGTGTGTGTGTGTGTGTGTGTGTGTGTGTGTGTGTGTGTGTCTATTCTTCAGTTTATCTTTGTATATCTGTTCAATTAGTTACTTGTCTCCATGTTGCATTACATACACATGACTTGCCAAAGTCCACTGGTATCAACATGTTACCAGTTCAACTTCTATGTTTGGTGGTTGGTTTTGGTTTTTGAGGGCAAGATTTTGTTATGTATCCTGTGAGATACTAGGCTGGCCTGGAACTTGCTGTTGTCTCTCGGCCTTTGCCTCCTGAGCCCTGGGATTATATAGGCATGAGCGACCATGCCTGGTGCCCCTCTTATGTTATAATGTTTGCCTTGTGTATTTATTCTAGATCAAGGAAGACATTTAGATATTTAGAACTGCATAAGACAATATAATTAATTCTTCAGTCATAAATATCTCAGAAGAAATGAAGTATACTTGCTTTACACACTTTAATTTTGTGTGTATATGTGTAGTGTGTATGCTCAATTGTGCACGTAAATCCTCCTGAATACATGGAGAGGTCACAGGACAATTGAAGTGGTCATTCTTCAGGTACAGTCTGCTTTATTTTTTGAGACAGAGTTTCCTACTGGCCTTGGACCCAACAATTTGGCTCAACTGTCTTGCCAGTAAGCTGCAGGACCCCATCTCTCCTGAGTTAGGTATGAGAACCGTTATAGCCAGTTGCTGCTGCTGCTGCTGCTGCTTCCTTAGGCAAGGTCTCACGGTGTAGCTGTAGCTGGACTGGAACTCATCATATAGACCAGGCTGGTCTCAGAGAGCCGCCTGCCCCGATCTCCTGAGTGCAGGGATTCAAGGGGTGCACCACCAGGCCCGACCTACCCTCAGCTTTTCCACACTGAGCTCAAGTCCTCATGCTTGCACGGCAGACACTTCGCTAACTGAGCCTAGATCTTCTCCTAATTTTTACTGCATGTTTTTATTACAGAATTCTGGGTGAATGGTTCTTTTTCATCCACCATCAGAGAACATATGCAAATTCTTCTGGAATCCCTTGTTTCTAATGAAAAAATGTGTTGATACTCAAATAATTTTCTTCCTATAAATACTTTCCCCCTTCACTGCTCTCAATATTTTTTTTATCTTCCTGGATATATATATATTTTTTTGGTCTTCTGTTTTCAGCAGTATAAATATGGTAAGTCTTTGGTGGATATCTTTAGGCTTCCTCTTCAAGGCTCATTCAGTTTCTTCACTCTGTTTTTTTTTCCTTTGCTCAGTTCTTTGTATCTTCAGAGCTGTTGTTTTCAGGCACTTTTTCCAGTGACAATTTCTCCCCTTCTGAGATGATTGTCACCTGAATATTATAATCTCACAGGGCCCCAAGACTCTATTCATTATGTGTTTTCAGAGTAGTTTTATTTTATGTTTTTTTTATTTATGTTTATTCTCCTTGGTTTAAAGATTGTTTTTATTTTAAACAATGTGTATGCATGGCAGTGGGGGCTGTGCACATGAACACAGTGCAGGAGGAGTCCAGAAGAGGACATCAGAGCCCCTCAAGTTGGAGTCACAGGCAGTTATAAGTTGCCAGATGTGGGTGCTGGGAATTGGATTTGGTCTTCCGTAAGAGCAGTATGCACTCTTAACTATGGAACCATCTCTCCACTTGTTTCTAAGATGCGTTTCTTGCTTTATTAAATGAGCTGGATGTGGTGGTACACACCTTTCATCCCAGCACTCAGGGGCAGAGGCAGTCAGATTTCTGTGAGTTCAAGCCCAGGCTGGTCTACCTAATAAGTTTGAGGACAGCCAGGATTACATAAAGAGACCCTGTCTCAACCCCCCGCCCCCCACAAAATAGCTTGTTCATTATTCTCGCTTCGTGTTCATTGATACATCTTTCTTTTTCCTTTCTAGTCTGTTATTTAACCCATTAATTGAAAATTTAAATTCTGAGAATGTTTTTCACTTCTGTAACTCCTTTTTGTTTTTTTTTTCATTTAAGTGTTCTATTCCTTTGATAATACTTTTTATTTGTTCCAAGAGTGTTTATAAAAAGTATTTTTATGATGACCTATGTAAATTCTTTGTTAGATAATCCTACTGTCCCTTTCATCTTGGTGCTTGTGTCTACTCATTATCATCTTCTCAATTCAAGTTGAGATGTTCTTTGCTCTTGGTACAGGTGGTGACTTTCAACTGAAGTCTAGATGTAAAGCTTCCATTTTACTAGGCTTTGCCAGTGCGTTAGCCAGGGAGTGGGAGCCTTTGTCTCATGGCTGCCAATTGGTGGTAGACGTCCAGAGTCTTTTAGATAGGGACTCACTGTGTAACCCAGGTGTCCTAGACTCACTTGTCTTCCTCAGTCTCCTGAGTGCTGGGATGATAGGCATGCACCAGACTCAGTAGAAGACTAGGGTTTTTTGTTTGTTTGTTTGTTTTTGTTTTTTGTTTTGTTTTTTACCTGACTTCCTGTGGCACCTGAGGGATGTGACTGCTGAACTGTGATGAGCACTCCAGCTTCCTTCATACTTCTGTGGCTAAAATAGATAGGACTGCCTCATTACCTACTCAAATACATACAGCGTCACTGACATCACAGAATAGAGACTGTTGTTGTTATTATTGCTAGACATTCATAAAAATTCTGATCCTTGACTCTGTCAACTTCAGTGGGGAGAAAGGAAACCCTGTTAGTGCCTGGTGTCTGAGAAATCCCAGGCTCCCCAGCTGTTCATGTCTGGCATTCATGAGTGGTGGAGGTGAATGTTCTGGTCCTCTAATGTAGCTTCTCTGATACCACACACTATGTCAAGGCCTCATGATGAAGATGGCAGCCAGGCTGTCATTTGGCCTTCATACTTCCCCCCAGTTCTGCAGGACAGCTGCTGCAGTTGACGGGCTGCCCTCTAACAGTGTTTTTTAAGCTGCTCCCTGACCCTCTGAAGAGGGAGAACAGGCTTCTTGTGGGCATTCCTCTTTGTGTTCCATGTGCTGCCAAGTTGCTGTCTTTGTTTGTGGTGTGTCTTGAATGTGTGAATCATCACTGTGCCTTTCCTTGGGTTTCATGGACCCTGAATAATCTTACTTCTCTTCTCCTTTCAAAGGCTCTTTGTATTTGTCTTCTGTCTACTTTTCTCTCCCTGTGTGTTTTTTAAATTGGGTTTAACATAAGGAATAAAGAAAAGTGTATCCCATCTTCACAGAAGTTTTCACACTAGCAGTTTGCTAGGTAATGTGGTAGGGAGCATAGTGGTGTCTATATTAGAGTCTATAAAAGAACAGAACTGACATATTAGTTACTTTTCTGTTGCTATGATAAAACACCATGACCAACGTCTACATACAAAAGAAAGCATTTAATTGGCTTACGGTTTCAGAGGGTTAGAGTCCATGATGGCAGAGCAAAGTGAGTGCGGTAGGAACAGCTGAGAGTTCACATCTCGATCCACAAGCAGGCGGCCAAGAGCGCACTTATAATGTCACCATTCTTTGAAACCCCCAAGCCCGCCCCCGCTGACAAACCTCCCCTAACAAGGCCACAACTCATAATCCTTCCTAAACAATCCCACCAACTGGAGACCAAGTACTCAAACATATAAACTCATGGGGACCGTTCTCACTCAAATCATCACAACGTGGATATAAAGATAGCGATAGGGTTTATTTAATTGGCTCACAGCGTGTGGTCCATCAATAGCTGTCTCATACTGGAAAGACTGAAACTTCATTAGCCATTCAATCTATGAGGCTGGATGTCCCAAAAGTCTTAATCTGGTGCTAGACATCTGGAGGATTCCTGCTGATCTTTAGTTTTCACTGGAGTCACAAAGAAGTTGGTTCTAACGTCATGCAGGACTGTCACAGCAACAGAGTAGATAAGCATGCTAGCGAGAATGAGGGCAAGCAGGCAAAAAAAGCAGTTTTATGTCCTTTGATCTGGGCTGCCACTAGAAGGTGCTGCTCACATCTAGGGTTAGTCTTCCTGCTTCAGATAATCTGACTGAGCAACTCACAGGAATGCCTAGCAGTTTATATTTTAGGTGACTCCAGATTCAGTCAATTTAACAACCAAGATTAGCCACTACAGTCCCCCAAGTTGATACACATTCCCCCAAATCTGTGAATATTGCAATGGAGGAAAGATATTTTTTCAGACATGATTACAGATTTATTTTCAAATTGGAAAGATTATCCATCATAATCTGGTTGCCCAATCAAACACATAGTACTGAAAGGGCCAGAACCTTAGTCAGCTGTCAGTTGAGAGCAGGTGTAATGACAGAAGAAGGTCTGAGAGACACAATGTTGCTGACCATGAAGACTGAGCAGATCTTTATGGTAACTCTTAAAAAGGTAGAGAAGCCAGGAAGACAAATTCTTCAGAGCCTCTAAAACACAACATGGTCTCATCAATTTGTTTCTTAGTTCAATGACACAACATCCTCTACCAAAAAGAACTTTAAGATAATCATATTGCATTATTTAAGCCATGTGTTTGGTTTTTTTATAGCGGTCACAAAACTAATAATTAGTACAGTAGTCACACACACACACACACACACACACACACACACACACACACACACACGAAAATCATGAAGTCAGACCTTTGTTTGAAGATTGATAACCATTTTATTTCAATGTGAACGGTAAGGTACAGAGAATTACAGCTACAATTTGAATGTGGCCCCCAAAATTCATCTGCTGAAAATATAATCCAGAAATTTGTATGTTCGTGTTATCTGCACATGAGCTTTGGGGAAGACATTGGAGTTAGATGGCACCGTGAGGATAGGGCCCCCACTTCAGATTACTGCTTTTATAAGAAAATGCATCTAAGCTCTCATGCTCTACATTTCTGGCCATGTGATGCTTTCCATCATGAAGTGGACAGCCAGAAGGCCCTCATCAACTGCAGCTTCTTGGCTTTGATCTTTCAAGCCTTTCAAAATGTAAGAAACACACTCCTTGTCTTTATAAATTACCTAATATGTAGTGATTTTCTTTTGGTGCATGTTCATAAATATTCACTGATATGAATGTGCATGTTCATGAGTACACATATACATGAGCATGCACGTGTGTAGAAGTTAGAGGGTAACCTCTGGTGTCATTCCTCCTTAGACACTGTCTACCTTGTTTCTTGTGACAGAGTCTCTCACTCGCCCTAGGGCTTAACCACCAGACTAGACTGTCTGGCCAGTGAGTTCCGGGAATTCCCTTGTCTCTGTCTCTCCAGTGCTGGGATTCCAACTATTGCACCCACTTTTTACATGGGACCTGGGGGGTGAACTCAGGTCTGCATGTTTGCACAACAAGAATTTTATCAACTGAGCCATCTCTTCGGTTCTTTAAGCTGTGGTTTTCTGATAAATTACCAGAAAATGGACCAACATGTATGCATTGTCCACAGTGAGTGATATGTTTGCATTGTACTTTCTTTGTGAGTGAAAGATTCAATAAATTACTATTGAAGGTGTTGGAAATGGAAAGGAGACACAAATTATATAATATAACTTTAAAAAATCTTTAAAATGCATGAACCACCGACTACTACTTGGGTCTTTTGTAAGTGAGTTGTATTTGTATTTACAGATAGTGAAACTAGTTCCCTAATGGATATAGAAACTGTAATTCTGGCTAAAGTTCACGAAGATGAAGAAGACCATTCAGAGGCAATACTAAAATCTGAGAAGTTTCAGCAAGACTTATTTTTTATGGAAAGGGTTTTGATGGAAAATGTATTTCAGTCGAAGCTTGCATCCTACCGTCAACTCCCTATTTTAAAAGGTACCTTTAAAAAGTAATTAATCATGCTTAGACAAACGTGAATAATTAAAAAAATTAATTGTGCCATTGCATATTTGTAAATGTAATTTCCACACTAGCTATCACTCATTAAAGAATGTGTTTGTGTAATTTGAATCACTTATTAACTACCTATCAAGCATATGAGTAGCACTGGAGTCCAGACTAGGGAATCCACAGAAGGGCTGTCCCTCAAATTTAAAACTTCAAAAGCATTTTGTCCTTATTTTCTCCTGTTCCCGCATCAAATGAGGCCCTTGTTTTTCATAGTGGTTTTTTGTGTGTATGTTTGGTCTCCCTGTGCACCGCCATTAACTCTCCCATTCCAACTGTTTCAGCACTGCTCCCTGTTCTCACCACTGCACGTCCCCTCGGATATGTTCACAGAATATTGTGCTTTAGCTATTTACAAATTTATTTTCAGTTTTATGACTTTCTGGGGCTAGAACCCAGGTCCTTGTATACTTCTAGGCCCCCGAGTGATTTTTTTTGTTTCTTTTGTTGCTGTTTTTAAAAGAGATTAATTCAGCCTTTAAGCACTGGACTGAAGTGAAATTTATGAAGGTTCTGTAGTGAGTCATGTGATTCCAAGTTAATTCTTGCCACTAGCTGACCCTTTCTTGTAAGTTTATCCTAAACCCCTCCTGGCCATTCAGTGCTCTAGATGTTCAGAGCCTTCCCATTGCTTAGGGTCAGCTTCATGTCTCAGAGTGTATCATTGCAGGTATCTGTAGTCCGGCCAGAGACTGTCATTGTGGTGTTTGGAGGTGTCTTGGAATTCAGAGAACGTTGACGTCTGTCTGGCCGCCCATTGCTTTCCCTTCACTCTCTTTTCCTGTTGTAGTCCCACTTTTCATGAACTCATCCGGATCCTCTAAACAAAGTTAATCTCCTATGTGGTTACATCAACAATTAGATTACAAAGTAACATGTGTGGCAAATGGTTATAGGCTTTTTGCCTGGAGAAAGCCAGGATACTGTTTTAGAACTATGATCCTCTTTCATGTAAGGTTGCTATTTTAAAATGTGTTTCATTGATACTGTTTCATTCTATATCTAAAGAGTTGTATACTTGCAATTTAAAGTTCTGTAAATATTGACATTTACAAAGCTGAACAGTTAGTATATTACTTGTTTACTAATAAAAATAATGGAACAAATACTTTAATGGGTAAGATTTATAGAAAGTGGCATGTTTATATTTAAACTGTGTTTTTAGCATATGTAGAAAAGTAAGAAAGTTACATAACTAATACCCTGGTCAACACGGAGACTATCCCCATAAACTATCAAGATGGTCTTGTGCTGGTTGCATGTAAACATTATCCACCCACCCCCCAGGCAGCAGTTGACTTTATCTGTAACCACAAGTTAACTTTCCCAGTTGTGGTATATCATGTAAGTGCATTCACATGATAAATACTGTTTTTTGAGCCAGTGAGATGACTCAGCAGGTAAAGGCACTTGCCATCCTAACCTGAGTTTGATTCCCCAGAACACACAAGGTAGAGAAAACTGACTCTTGCACACCATCTCTCTACCATACACATGTTCATGCACACACATACATACACACGCAAGTGTACGTGCACATACACACTCATTGATGTAATAATAAAAAGTTAAAATAAACTTGAGTTTGGTTCTTTCACTCACCATTCCTGATGTTAAGATTCAGCTAGATTGGTGTATATATAAATAGTTAATTTCTTTCTCAGTGAAGTGCTCCAGCATATGAAAATACCATAATTTGTTTACTCAACAGTTCATGGATCTGCATCGTGTTCCCTTTGAGTTTTCAGTTGAGTCTTTTGGCAAATGTAGTTCAGTTTCTTTTATGCCTTGCACTGGGTCATTGGGTAGATGTGTGTCTAGCTTCATTTTAGGAACCATGAAATAGTTTCTCAAAGAATTATACTGTCTTACATTTCCATAACCAGTATATAAGAGTTCCAGTTTCTCCAACTGTTAATTGCTGATGCTAGCAATACTTTTAAAAATGTTGTATTAGCATATATTATGAATAACAGGTTTCATTACATTTTATTGATCACTTTCCTCTTCCCAAATAGCAGTTGCCTGTTCCAAGGAGGGAGGAATCATGAGGTCTCACTCCTTCATGAGGATCTATAGACAATTCATAGTTGCTAGGGAGGTAGAGACATTCTCTTCATTGATATAGCCACTGGTAAACTGATCATACTCCTGTAAACAATATGGCCCCATGTAAGTAACTTTAATTAAACCCATTGGTACACACACACACACACACACACACACACACACACACACACACACACAGGTACACACAAACACACAAGTTGGGGAGAGGGAGATGACAATCTTTTTAATGTTGTCTTAATGATTAGTAATGCTGAATGCTTGTGGTTAATTTTGGTATTTGTGTACTTTTCATTTGATGTTCAACTAGGTCTTTTGCATATACTAAAATTTAGTTCTCTTATTTAAGGTATTTGTGTGTGTGTGTGTGTGTGTGTGTGTGTGTATGATGTGACTTGTGACATGGTGAGGGGGGTGCCAAGACACACACGAAGGTCAGAGGACAGCTTTGTGGGGTCAGTTCTCTTGTTGGTCTTGGGAATCAAACCTAGGTTTTCTGGCTTTGTGGCGGTTGCCTTCACCCTCTGTGCCATCTTGCTGCCCCAATGGTATGTGTTAAGTACTTGATAGGTACAAAAGAACAGTTTTAAGGAGGAATGTAATACTGGGATTGAGTAAAAGGAAGGTAGTATGCAGTTGTAACCACTGAATATCAACGGTGTCAAAAGAATAAAGGAAACACATGGGAAAGTAACTGGTAAGGAAAGAGGTCAAGGTCTTTAATAACCAGGAAACCCAGAACATTCAGGTTATCACTGAAGGAGCAGAACAAAGTTGAAGAATCGAGACTTTACAACTTAATATTAAGCTATAGTAGGTAAGATAGTGCATTGTTGGTGAGAAGGCAAACAGGTGAACTAACAACTGAGAGATCTCAGAAACGGAGCTATCTAAATAGTCAACTGATCTTTGGCAAAAGACAATACAACGGAAATAAAGGCAGTCTTTATAACAAATGAAGTTAACATCCCCATACAAAAAGCAAATCTAGCCACAGTCCTTAGAATCCATAATAAAATAGCTGAAATAGATTATAAACTCCAATATAAAACACAAAATTCCTAGAAAATAATATAGGCGAAACGATAACCTTGAGTGTTAAATATTGTTTAAAGTAAAACTCCCCAAACACAAGAGACACCACAGAGAGAATAAAAAGACCAGTCACTGGAGGAAATGTTCACGGAAGACAGAGCTGATAGACAACTGCTAGGTAAAGACTTACCATCACGAAAACATGCTGGGCATTGTGCACATGCCTATCATCCCAGCACTCACCAGATGTAGTCAACAGGATCAGGAGTTCAAGACTAGGCTGGGCTACATGAGAGCCAGTCTAAAACAACAGCAACCAATCACCAACACCCGGTACTTATGACTTAACATGAGAAGAAGCTTGATGTGATACACATCCGTCCCAGCACTCTACAGACTGAGACAGGAGCATGAAGAATTCAAAGTCTGGGTCTGGAGAGATACCTGCACAGGTAACAGCACTGGCTGCTTTTTCAAAGTACCCGGGTTTGATTCGATGCCCAGCACCCACACTGTAGCTCCCAATGGTCTGTAACTCCAATCCCACCAAACCTTGTGCCTTCTTCTGGCTTCCAACAGCACCGAGTACACGTGAGGTGCCCACACATACATGCAGGCAAAACACCCATAAACATTAACATAGAATAAATAAAAACAAACTTAAACAGCAATAAAAAAAAGCAAACAAAAAATGAGTTTAAAGTCTGCCTGATCTACATAGCAAAGTTCTGTCTCAAAATCAGTACAAGGTACGAAGAGAAATCTCACCAAGGACGATATCCAGATGGGAAACCATATCATTGGGGAATTAGAAATTAAAACAACTGAGAGGTAAGTAAAACAATATGCCTGTTAGAATGGCTGGATCCCAAACACATGGCAATACCAAATGCTGGTGAAGATGAGGGACAAGAGCTCTTTTGTGACTGGTGGGAATGCACACTGGTATGTCTGGTCTGGAAGACAACTTGACACTTATAAAACTAAGAGCAGTCTTACTGTACAGTCTATCAAGTGCATCTTGGTAGGTACTCAGATGAGCAGAAAATGTACACCCACACTTGTTGTTAGTTGCTATTGTTCTTTGGCTCTTTGGGGGCCCGCCACCCAGCTCACAAATAAATTACATGAGGTTTATTCTTTCTTATGAATGGTTGGCCTTAGCTTGTCTTGTTTCTATTCAGCTTTTCTTAAATTATCCCATCTACTTTTTGCCTCTGAGCTTTTACCTTTTTATATTTCTGTATATCTTTTCTTTACTTCTTACTCCTGTATCTGGCTGTGTGGCAGGGTGGCTGGCCCCTTCTATTCTCGCTTCTTTACCTCTCTTCCCAGATTTCTCCTCCTATTTATTTTCTCTGCCTGCCAGCTCTGCCTATCCTTTCTCCTGACTTGCTATTTACCGTTCAGTTTTTTTATTAGACCAATCAGGTGTTTTAGACAGCCAAAGTAACATGGCTTCACAGAGTTAAACAAATGCAGCATAAAAGAATGCAGCAATCTTTGCATCATTAAACAAATATTCCACAGCATAAATGAATGTAACACATCTTAAATTAAAATTCCTCAACTCACATTCATCAAAAGGCCCTCTACACAGTGTTTATGGGAACCTTTTTCATAATTCCTCAAGTTTGAAAGCAAGCACAATTTTCATTACTCAGTAAATGGATAGACTGAGGTACAGACATTGTTTCATGCTGAGTCATCGGGTTCTGGGTAGACATGGAGGGAAGATTACATGCATGTTACCTTGTGAACAAACTCAGCCTGAAAATGGCACAAACTGTGATTCCAACCATAAGACATCCTGAGAAAGGCAAAACTATGTAGAGAATGGGAAGAGCAGTGGTTGCCAGAGGTGAGGGTACATCGAGGGATAAAAATCCTGAACCTAAGTTTTCAGACAATGAGACTATTGTGAACAGTGCTGTAATGGGTAATACATGTCAATCACATTTCTCAAAACCCATAGACTGTACTACATGGGAATAAATTCTCATGTAAAATTTGGATGATAGTGACAGAAAACCAAAGGTAATAGTTCCTGAAAGGATATAGGTTAGCACTACTGCCAAGGACTTTACATAAGCAGGCAGATTGGTTCCCAGTACATTTCTCATTCAGCTCATATATTTGGCTTATGTAGAAAAAAGATGGTTCTTAGAGAAAAAACAGTGAATTATTATAAAAATATTATAATTATTATAAAGGTGGTAATTTAAATTTCAACACCATTCTTGTTATAGCTTCATAATGGGGTCAGTTATTTTTCTTGTTGCCATAACAAAATACCTGACCGAAGCAACCTAAGGAAGAAAGGATTTACTTTTCCTTGGCTCACTGTTTAAGAGGATACTGTCCATCATGCCAGGGAAGGCATGGCAGAGTCCATGGCAGCAGTAGCACACAGCTGGTACTCTCCATATGTAGGAAGCAGAGGCAAATAGTGCTCTTCTCATTTTGCTTCGTTCTTTCTGGACTCTAGCCCATGGGGTGTTGGCTCTCACATTCAGGATGAGCCTGAGTTAACCATCCCTGGAAATGCCCATGTAGATGGGCCAACAGCTGACTCCTAAGTGATTCTAATCTCCAGGAAAGGTGTTGATGAAGTTTAACCATGATGATGCTATTCTTGTTGGTCAACTTGACCACATCTGAAATTAACTAAAATCCAGACAGCTGGGTACACTGTCTGTGTGTACCCAGAGGGATTGTTTTCTTAATTAGATAATTTCTTAATTAAATAAATCTTAATTAAATCTTAATTAAAGTGGGAAGACCAGTTTTAATCCAGATCTTCTGAGGTTGGAAGATCCACGTTTAATCTGGGCTGCACCTTCTGCTGGCAGCCTATATAAGGGACATGGAAGAAGGAAGCTTTCTCTCTTTTTGCCTGCTTGCCCTCACTCTCACTGGCAAGTCTATTCATTCACTGGCATTAGAGCCTACTTCTTTGGGATTCTGGCAAATACTGAAAACCAGTTGAGACATATAGCCTTGTGGACTGAACAACTACTGAATTCTTAGGACTTTCTGTTGGTAGGAAGCCTTTGTTGGACTAGCTGGACCACAGCCTATAAGTCACTCTAATAAGCCCTCTAGAGAACCCTGACTAATGCAGCCATCCTCACAACATGAGCAATTAAACACATGTAGTTATCAATAAAGCAAATATTTTTGTGCCCCTTCCCATAACCATTGGGCTTAAGAAATAAGCAAACCATCCACATTTATTTTCAGTGGTTCTACAGCCCTACAATTACTATGTAGGGCCCTCCAACAAGAGATTGTGTTGGTCTATTTCATGGATGTTGATTGGACTGTGTAAGTAAAATACAAATAATTTGTAAGATACTTTGATATCAGAAGATAAGAATTAAATGTGGGAAAAAACCTAGAAGACTTGTAGATGTAACCGTCTTATTAAATAAGAAACACAGAGCCAATACAGAGATGAAAGCCAAGAGGTCAGAGCAATAGCTAAGAGCTAAAAACCTTACCCTTCACTGTCGCTGTTGTCCTACCTCTCTGAATGAGACCTACTTCCTGTGTGTCTGTCTTTTTTATAGAGTTTCTGTTCTGCCTTCTCATTGGTTGTAAACCCAACCGAATGACCTCCTAGTCACTGCCTGTCTGTACAGACCTCCAGGTCTTCTATGGTTGGTATTGAGATTAAAGGCATGTCTCCAATGCTGGCTATATCCTTGAACACACAGAGATCTACCTAGTTCTGCCTACCAAGTGCTGGGATTAAAGGCATGCACCACCACCGCCCAGCTTTTGCTATGGCTTGCTAATAGCTCTGACCCCTGGGCAACTTTATTTATTAACATACAAATCACATTTTAGTACAAATAAAACATCACCATGAAGACTCCTGCCTCAGTTAAAGATATTCTCATTCTCTCTCATATCTCTCTCTCTCTCTCTCTCTCTCTCTCTCTCTCTCTCTCTCTCTCTCTCTCTCTGTGTGTGTGTGTGTGTATTATGTGTAGGCAGTACATGCATGTGAGCGTGTGGTTACCTATGCCCATGTACATTATAAAGAGGCCAGAACAACCTAACATCTGATATTTCCCTCTGCTGTTTTCTGCCTTATTCCCTTGAGACTGAACCAGAAGTTCCTTTGTATTTGGCCAGGCTGGCCAGGTAGTGAGCTTTTGGGATCTTTATGTCTCTGCCCTACAATACTGGGGTTATGAGCATGTGTAGCCATAGTCGGCTTTTCTCTTGTGTTCTGGAGATTTAAACTTAGGTGCTTATGCTTGCAGAACAAGCACTCTTACCTACTAAGCCATCTCCTCAGCCTCAAGTTGTATACTTTTCTAAGGTAAAGTTGTTGGCTCCTTCCCAACAAAAACAGGCATGAAACTTGTTTTACATTTTCAAGTAGCAGCATTTGGATGTGCTACTCTGGCCCATTCTCTGAGTGACCAGAAAGTCTGCTGTCAGAAGTCTTCAGTAGGCCTGTGTTACCATTCAGGTACCTGTCAGTTTGACTGTGTGTTCCAGTAGATCTAGTGGTATTGTAAGTGTCAGTGACAGATAGAGATGCTATTCAAATTCTTTGGGGTAGAGAGCAATGACATCTCTGTTTGATTTAACTTTAGAACGTGAACCTGAAGAGCCTGAAGAAGTTTTGGAAGAAGAAGTACACGAAGAAGCAGAGGAAGAGATTAAGAGGGAGGACGCAGAAGAAATGGAAATGGAACTAGAACTAGAGATAACCACAGAGCAGTCAACAATACCGGCCAATTTGGAACGGCTCTGGTCTTTTACCTGTGACTTAACTAAAGGCCTTAATGTGAGCAGCCTTGCCTGGAATAAAGCAAATCCAGTAAGTCACCAAATGCTCTAACAATTGCATCCTAGCGTTTAAAGGACAATTCTTTTGTAAATTTTCATTTATTATTTTGTGTGTATGTGTATGGTGTGTGTGTGTGTGTGTGTGTGTGTGTGTGTGTGTGTGTGTGTATGTGTGTGTGTGTGTGTGTGTGTGTGTGTGTATAGGCTAGCTGGCCAGTGAATTTCCAGATGATTCTCCTGTCTCCACCCCTGGAATTACTAAGGTGAGCCATCACATCTGTCTTTTGGGGGTTCTGGACACTGAACTCAGGTCATCAGGCATGTGCAGCAAATGCTTCTACTCACTGAGCCGTCTTACTGGCCCTCACTGGCAAATTCTAAAATGAAGGGTTTTTGTTTGTTTCTTTGTTTTTATTCAGACATGGGCAAAGGATTTTTTAAATTTTTATTTTATTTAATTAACATTTTTTCCTTTTATTTTACCTATGGACCACAGTTTCCACTCCCTCCTCTCCTCTGGCTCCCTCCCTGGACTCCCATCTGCCCCTGTTGTTGTTGGTATTTTACTCTTTTGGGGGGGTCTGCCAACCAGCTCCCAAATTCTTACTTATAAACGTCCGTCCTTAGCTTGGTTTGTTTCTTGCCACTTTTCCTTAACTTAAGTGATCCCATCTACTTTTTGCCTCTGGGCTTTTCCCATTGTCTTACATCTGTAAATCTTACTCTTATTCCGTGGCTTGCTGTGTAGCTGGGTGGCTGGCCCCTAGAGTCCTCGTTCTCTGGCTACTTCCTTGATCATTTAACTCCCAGATTTCTCCTTCTATATATTCTCTGTCTGCCAGCCCCACCTATTCTTTCTCCTGCCTCACTATTGGCCATTCAGTTCTTTATTAGACCATCAGATGTTTTAGACAGGCATAGTAACACACTTTCGCAGAGTTAAACAAATGCAAAATAAAAGTAACATACCTTAAAATAATATTCTACAGCATTTCCCCCTGTTTTAAAGGTTTTAACTTTAACATAATAAGACTGTACACAGTAAGAGCAATTATCAAGTAAAGATTATATTCACAGTGTAGTGAATTCTAGTTCATTTATGTCTGACAAATTAAAATACTCCATTATCTATCCTATCTTAGTGAATCTAAAGTTTTCTACCTAATTTACTCTCTATCATAACTAAGGAAAACTATAACTCTAATTATTTAGTCTTTAACTCCATCAAAGACCCCAGAAGTAATTAATATTACCTAAGAACAGAGACAACTGCCTGGACAATCATCCAAAGTTCCTCTGCAATGTTGGGGCATCCATCTTCAGCCCACAGGCCTAAAATACCTGACAAACTTTTCAGTGAAGCAGGAAATTTAAAGGACTATCCTACCTGGTTTTGGCAAAGTTCAGTGGTCATTTTCCTGTGGGTCTGGCATGTCCATTCTGCACAGCACATTGTCAGCAGTCAAAGGCAAGAGCAGTTTCTTTGCCTAGTCACTAACCTTGCCACAATAAAAGCAAACTCCATAAGGAGTTTCTTCAACGCCCATCATCTTCTCTGAAGTAAATTTGTGCTGATAGGAGCAGATGTGTCTCATGGTCATGAAAAGCTTTATGTTAACAAAACATTTTAAATGCCATATTCAGTAGATCTTTGAAAGATTTGAAGACCATCTATCTATCTAAAATATATGTCTATATGATCTGGAAAGCATACCTAACATATCTACAAATTTGATTGTTATAAATGACTAACCACTAACCTATGTTTCCTGATTATCCTATATAGTTTATAATAAGAGCTTTCAAAAACTAGAATTTTACCTTACATTTTTAAATAAACTGCATAGGTACAATACCTTAAACAAGAGTAAAAACATATATACAATATGTTGTAACAAAAATAACCTTAAATTTTTATCAATATATAAAAATATCTTAAACAAGAGTAGAAACATACAGTATAACAAAAATAACTTTAAATTTGTATCAATATTCTATATTCCCCTAAATGATAACAAACATCCATAACCCACCAAATAACCAAAAACCTCCCACATCCCTTTTGGGAATGTAGACATTGTGTTCTCCAAAGAGCTTCCTGCTTTCTGTGGACAGAGTATCATTAGGGTTCCAGAGAGAAAATTTGAGATAATGGCTAAGTCCTAGGAAGACCAGCAGTAGCCTTTGCTAATAGATATAACCTGTCATGTTTCAGGAGGTCTCACCTGATAAAACTTGATCCATATTAACCCTGAAGGAATCCATAACCTCTCATCTCCTGTGGGTACAAAACTCCAAAGCATTTTTGTTTTCCATTTGAAAAATACATTTTTTTTTTTTTACTTTTTTAAAGTTAAGGCATTCTTAGGTATAAAGACTGGTTTATTTCATCAGTTCCTCTTTCAATCTCATGTTTCTTAGCAGCTGTTGTTTGCTTATTACCTTTCAAAAGATTCAAAATCAACACAATAACATACAGGGTACAGACTCCCTGTGTGTTTCCCATCTCTATGTGGCTTGTTCCTTTTTCTTTTATATTACTTTATTTCTCTCTTTAAAGACTTTATTTTTAAACTACTCATTTTCCCCCTATGATTATAATTTTTTCTTTTCTTAAGTCTCCACAGATTGTTAAACACACTGTAACCTCTTTAGAGATGTTTCCATCTAGACCTCTTTTATTGCATATCTTCAGCCTTTTTTGACCCTGTGAGCAAACTTTTAAACTGCTAACCCACACCTGGATCCTCTGCATGCAGCTCTCAACCGGCTCCTTGGCTTCTTGGGTCATGAAGGCCAAGCGTGAAACTAGCCACCCAGTGGGAGGTTTGTCTGACCAGGAACTGCACTCAACCTTCCTAGAGCTCCAGAATGCTGATGCTTGCACTGTGGCAGGCATTGTTACTTAGTTTTTTTGTTTATTCCTACTTAACATGCTAGCTGCTCAAGGGCTTGCCAGCAGACAAATTGTTAAAGGAGCCATATCCTCTTTTTTTTTTTAAACTTTCTCAGGCACTACGGAAATGCAAGTGCAACGTTGGTACACCAAAATGTTGTTGTTTATTTTTGCTCTTTTGGGGGTCCACCGACTAGCTCCCAAATAAATCACACACAGAGGCTTATTCTTTTTTTTTTTTTTTTTTTTTTTTTTTTTTTGGTTTTTCGAGACAGGGTTTCTCTGTGTAGCTTTGCGCCTTTCCTGGAACTCACTTGGGAGTCCAGGCTGGCCTCGAACTCACAGAGATCCGCCTGGTTCTGCCTCCCGAGTGCTGGGATTAAAGGCGTGCGCCACCACCGCCCGGCTGTGAGGCTTATTCTTAAATATAAATGCCTGACCTTAACTTTGCTTGTTTCTAGCCAGCTTCTCTTAACTTTAAATTATCCCATCTATCTTTGGCCTTGGGGCTTTTATCTTTCTCTATTCCTGTATACCTTTTCTTTCCTTCTTACACTGTGTCTGGCTGTGTGGCTATGTGCCTGGCCCCTGGAGTCCTCTTCCTTCTCAGACTACTTCCTTGATCTCTTTCCTTCCAGATTTTTCCTTCTATATATTGGTGAAATTATTAAGGCTACTCCACGTAGTTAAAAGGAGATTTATTTAATGGCATAACTTACAAGTTAAGGGATAGGTAGGTCGCAGGGTCTGGGGAAGGTGTATCGCAGTCCAGCGGTGTTCTCTGGAGCTCTGCTTGGCCCACCTTCACCGTCCAAGGTCCCAGAACCGAGTGAGTGCGTCACCCATCCAGATCTCAGGTCTCCAGGCGCCTCCCTTGGCCCCGCCTTGTAGGCGTGACAGTTGCCGAAGTCTCAATGGGGGTTGGAACTTCCAGATCAAAGCTGGAATGGCTACTCACTCCATTATATATTCTCTTTGCCTTGAGCCCTGCCTATCTTTTCTCCTACCTTGCTATTGGCCATTCAGATCTTTATTAGACCATCAGGTGTTTTAGACAGGCACAATAACACAGCTTCACAGAGTTAAATGCAAAATAAATAAAAGTAACACATCTTAAAATAATATTCTATAACATACTTCCCTCCCCATCCACTCCTCATCTCCATTCAGAAAGGGGCAGACCTTCCATGGGCTTGAACAAAGCATGGCACATCAAGTTGAGGCAGGGCTGAGCTCCTCCCCCTGCATGGGGGGGTAATCCAGCATGGTTAACAGGTTCCCAAAAACCAGCTAAGTGCCAGGGCTGGTCCTAATCTCACTGCTAGGAACCTTTCGAACAGACCAAACTACACTGTTGCTGTTTGTTTTCTGCTCTTTTGTGGGGCCCTCCACTCAGCTCACAAATAAATCACACATGGAGGCTTATTCTTACTTATAAACATCCAGCCTTGGCTTGGCTTGTTTCTTGCCATTTTTCCTTAACTTAAATTTTCCCATCTATATTTTGCCTCTGGGGTTTTTCTGTTCTCTTACTTCTGTATATTTTACTCTTACTCCTTGGCTTGCTGTGTAGGTGGATGACTGGCCTTCTCTGGCTACTCTTCTTTCTTTCTTTATTTTTTTTGCCTCCTAGATTTCTCCTATATATTCTCTCTGCCTGCCAGCCCTGTCTATTCTTTCTCCTGCATTGCTATTGGCCATTCAATTCTTTATGAGACCATCAGGTGTTTTAGACAGGCAAAGAATCACAGCTTCATAGAGTTAAACAAATGCAAAATAAACAAAGTAACACATCTTAAAATAATACTCCCCAGTACTACACAATTGTCACACACATGCAAAGGGCCTAGGTTATTCCCATGTAGGCTCCCTAACTGTTGGTCCAGAGTCCATGTGCTCCCCAGAGCTCAGATCAGCTGTCTCTGTGGGTTTCCCCATCATGACCTTGGCCCCCCTGACTCATATAGTCCCTCTTCCCTTTCTTCAGGAGGACTCCTGGAGCTGGGCTGTGGATCTCTGCATCTGCTTCCATCAGTTATTGGATAAAGGCTCTCTGATGACAGTTAGGGTAGTCACCAATCTGAATATAGGAGAAGGCCAGTTCAGGAACCCTCTCCACTATTGTTAGGAGTCTTAGCTGGGGTCATCCTTGTGGATTCTTGAGAGTTTCCCTGGCGCCAGGTTTCTCTCTAACCCTGAAATGCCCCCCTACAACAAGATGTCTCTTTCATTACTCTCCCCTTCTGTCCCACCCCAACCCACCTCCCATGTCCAGCCCACCCAACCCACTCCCTCAAGTTCCTATCTCCCCACCCCCACCCAAGTTTACCCAGGAGATTTCTTCTATTTCCCCTTCCCAGGGAAATCCATGCATCCCTCTTTGGGCCCTCCTCATTACCTATCCTCTCTGGTGCTGTGGATTGTAGGTTAGTTATACTTTACTTTAGTCCTAATATCCACTTATGAGTGAGTATATACCATGATTGTCTTTCTGGGTCTGGTTTATGCCACTCAGGATGATTTTGTTCTAGTTGCATCCGTTTGCCTATAGATTTCATGAAGTTATTATTTTTTTTTTTTACAGCTGAGGTAATACTCCATTGTGTAAATGTACCACATTTTCCTTATCCATTCTTCAGTTGAGGGGCATCTAGGTTGTTTTCAGGTTCTGGCTATTATGAATAGTGCTGTTATGAACATAGCTGAGCAAGTGTCTGTAACACGAATCTTGAAAGGTCTTATTAATAAAATCAAACCCAGAGCCAGATATTGGGGTGAATGCTGAAAGATCAGAGAAACAGAACCAGCCACAGCTAACCTCACCTCACCAATTCCTCAGCTGATCTCGTTTCCGCAAACTGGAAGCCTCTATGTTCTCATCCGAATGGATCTCAGCTGAACTGCTGCTCAAAAGCCTAAAAGCTTAACAGACTCTAGTTCCTGGTCCTCATACCTTATATACCTTTCTGCTTCCTGCTATCACTTCCTGGGATTAAAGGCATGTAAAACATTTGTGGAATTCCTCAGGAATACTATTATTAATATTATTAAATGTATAGACAGCACTTCATATGTACCATTTAAGTTTTTTAAAAAAAATTATTTTTATTCTTTTAAATTATATGTGTATATGTTTGTGTCCTAGGAAGCCAAAAGCAAACTGACCCCTGGAGCTGGAGTTGGAGGTGTATGTGAGCACAGTGTAGGGCCTGAGAACTGAACTCAAGTCCTCTGGAAGAGCACTACATGCTCAAAAATGCTGATCCATCTCTGTAGCCTCATGCTAACATACCTGTATGAGTTAGATCTTCCACTATGTTAATAGGAAACTAGAAGCACAAAGACAATAAATAATTGCTCTAACCTCACCCAAACAGGAAATGAAGCAGCCAGAATTCAAATGCAGACATCTGGCAGGAGAGTTCCCAAAGTCATTTGAGGCAGATAAGTTTGGTTCTAAATCTGTGGGTCGCCACCCCAAAGACCATTGGAAAACACATATTCACATTACAATTCCTAATGTTAGGAAAATTACAGTTAGGAAGTAGCAACGAAAATAATTTTATGGTTGGAGGGGTCTCTATAACTTGAGGAACTGTATTAAAGAGGAATAGCATTAGGAAGGTCGAGAACCACTGAGCTAGGGACTGGTTTATTTCTTTTATTTCTTTATTTATTTTGTTTGTTTGTTTGGTTTTGGTTTTTCAAGACAGGGTTTCTCTGTGTAGTTTTGGTGCCTGTTCTGAATCTCGCTCTGTAGATCAGGTGGCCTGGAACTCACAGAGATCTGCCTGGCTCTGCCTCCTGAGTGCTGGGATTAAAGGCATGTACCACTATTGCCTGGCTGGTCTATTTGTTTTTAAAGGGAGATGTTTATTGAGTAGCAAAGCTGATGTTCTCTTGGGTTTTATACAATGTTTCTAAAGATATTCCCCAACTAGCAATTACATACATCATTTCAGGAGTGACTGTATCTTTTTTTTTTTTTTTTTGGTTTTTCGAGACAGGGTTTCTCTGTGTAGCTTTGCGCCTTTCCTGGAACTCACTTGGTAGTCCAGGCTGGCCTCGAACTCACAGAGATCCGCCTGGCTCTGCCTCCCGAGTGCTGGGATTAAAGGCGTGCGCCACCACCGCCCGGCGACTGTATCTTTGGAATAGATACTTAGTGTAGTTTGAACTCAGAGCCTTGTACATACTAAGCAAGCACTCTACCACTGAGCTGCAGCTCCAGCCCCTGCCCCAGCCCTCGGTTTTACCAGTACTTTTTAATAGTTCCTTAGTAGGTGCCTTTATGCATTTGCTTACTATTTCCTGCCATCCTTTGAAGTGTCTTTTTCTGGTTTTCAGGACCTTTTGGCTGTTGGCTATGGGAACTTTGGATTCAAAGAGCAAAAAAGAGGAATGGCTTGCTGCTGGTCAATAAAGAACCCCATGGTAACCCACGCAGGAATAAGAATATTTTTATCTCATTAAATGTTGACAGGGTTTTTCACACTGTGTACTTGTGTGTGGTAATTCAGTAAAGTCCAGACTATTTCATCAGTCAAGACTTTCTACTTTCTTATGTGTGTTCATCACGTGTGCAAGTGTGCATGCACTTGTGCATGCATTTGTGTGTGTGTGTGTGTGTGTGTGTGTGTGTGTGTGTGTGTGTGTGTGTGTATGTGTGAGTGTGTGTGTGTAGGTCAGAGTACACAGTCCTAGAAATACCTCAGTGCCATATACCTTCTGTTTTTGAGTCACGGTTTCTCACTGATCTCATCAAGTAGATGAGACAGGCTGGCCAGCTATCCTGAGAGCCCCTTGTCTCTGCCTACCAACACTGGAATTAAAAACACATGCCACTGGAACCCAGCTTTTCTATGGCTTCCAGGACTCAAATTCAGGTCTTCAGACTTGAAAAGGCAAGGACTTTACCAATGGAGCCATCTCCCTGGTCCTCACTGTTTTCTTTAGTTTAAATTCATAATAATTACAATTTATTCTTATCTTTCATGGGGTGACAGGAAATCATTTATGACTTCACACAATACATTTCAAGCATCTTTTATTCACTGTGTTGTCACAGCTAAGTAAAAAGCAGTCTGTAACTGAAGACCCTTTGAAAACACAAGTAATCAAGGGAATCAGTAATGGGAATAGAGCACTCTATTCAGCTAGTAGAAAAAGAATTAGTAATCTGAGAAACAATCATAATTTTTCAGAAAAATATATTCTCATAATCAAGCCAGTGGGTAATCCCATCAATCAATCTAGATATCTAGCTACCCAGATTTCTAGCTTAATAGTGGTATGGATTTTATAAGGAGAAAGAATAAGAAAAGGCAATAGGCTTTTAACTAAATAGCCCTGCTCATCTATTGCTGTATGGCTTTACATTTAATTTAACTCAGGAGTAAATGTGAAGCTGAAAACATGGAGGGTAGAAGAGCATATGAGGTGGTTAAAGTTAGTGTGAGTAGCCACAGTCCATCAGGATGCTGGGTTAGCACACAGAGGAGTAAACTACTGTAAAGGTAGGGGAACGGGCAGAGTTCGCCATCAGTAGCTCGTCTCCCTTTCCACATAGGGATTAGGCTGGATTTAGTCCAGCCACAATAGAGTTGTGAAAAGGAGTAGCTTAGAGAGTTTGGGAGGATTTTTTCTATTTGCTTTGTAGAAATGATGAAACAATCCAGGTTTCTAAAGCAAATGGCAGAAGACGCATGATCTGCTTGCAGCTCACTATGTGTTTCTATCCAGAGGGAAGTATGTGCTGGTCACACTCATCCCTGCTAGAGGATTACCAAAATGTGACAACTTGTGCAGAAGTCCATTGAGGACTAAGGCTTTCTATTAAGTCAAGGAAGTGACTATTTGAAGATTTGTTTTCATATGTACTAGAAGCTATGAACAGGAATAACTGAAGGCAGACTAACTTCTCACGTTCCCACGAGCACAAGACAACCTCATCATACCCTGCCATCATATGCTGCCTTACTGTGATCTGTGAAAATTCTTAAAATGTAGTAGAATATTTCTCCCCACAGTGGCCAGAGCGTATTTATCACAGTCCATATGGAGTTACCGCTGTGGATTTTTCGATCGGCGCACCTAATCTGCTAGCAGTTGGCTACCACAATGGCACCATTGCCATTTATAATGTGCAGAGCAGCAATAACACTCCAGTTCTGGACAGTAGGTGAGAATCCACCAACTAGATGAGCAAACATGCAATGCATGCTTTTTTTTTTTTTTTCTCCAGGAACATTTATAAGACTGAATGTTTTTACTTTTAAATGAAAACTTAAACTTTTGATTCTGTTCTTACTGAGAATATAATACCATCGATTTCAAAATGTTTAATGCTTCTTCATGTTGTCTCTAGCTGGAGTATTTCATACTCATTACCTCCTTCATACTCTTCTCTGCCTATCTTACCAACAAACTTATCTTTACTTAGTGGTTTATGGAGAAGCTTAAACTATTGCTTTGATATCATCTTCTCTAAGAAACTTCATTCTCTTCTTATGTACTCCATGCACCTCAGTCTTAATGCTTCTCGAACTACACAGACTGTTGGTTGGTGAGTAGACAGACGGGCAGATCTTTCTGAGCTCCTGTGTGATCTCAGTGAGAGCAAAGGGGAGGCTTTTTCCTGTATTCTCATTATGTCATAAAATATTTAGCATGTAACAGCAGTACATGTTTGAGAAAGAATGTATGAGTGAATGAGTTATAAGGGGGATACAGGCAGGTAAAAAGAAAAGATAGTTAAATAAGTTAGATGACTGTTATTTGTTTGTTTTTCAGACCAGATTTCAGAGTGGCTAAGATGTGGTGGTGTATTTGTAGCAGTGTTAGAATAAGCTTAGGTGAGACTGGGTATAGTCATTAAAGCAGAAATTCTTAATACTGAGGTTGTTTGCATAGATTTACCAGCATGGGCCCTGGTGCTTGTTTCTAGGAAAAGGGCCCATATTTTTTAACCAAACATTCAAAGCTATCTTTTAACTATAAGTACAAAACTATTTATTGTGTTGGAAAGTTTATATAAAATAATCAAGAGAATCAGTAATAGGAATAGAACACTCAGTTCGTCAGAAAATGTCAGTAATCTGAGAGGTATTTTTAAGTTTTTTTAAAAAGCTTTAATACTTTTAATACTTAAAAATACCTCTCAGATCCTGGCCTACCAAGTGAGTCCCAGGAAAGACGCAAAGCTACACAGAGAAACCCTGTCTCAAAAAACCAAAAAAAAAAAAAAAATAATAATAATAAAAAAAATAAAAAAATTAAAAAGCTAAATCTCAGAAGCATGCTAGTGGGTCATCCTAAAAGTATGAGGAGAAGAATGAAATGCAGCAGGGATTGTTTATTTGAATAACAGTGCAAAGACTAACTGGTTTGAACAATGGAAAAGAAACTATAAAAATAAAGTTACTTATTCAACATATCTAAAGAGTGGATATGTAATGCAAGTTCCTTTTTGTATTCCTTTTTTAAAAAAGGCAATAGAATTATAGGTCAGTAAAAATTTCCTTTTTTTAAAAAAAGAAATACCATATTAAATATTAAAGTAAAATGGTTAGCTATTCAGGAGTACACAAACAAATAAGGAAATAACTAACTAAATAAATAAATGTTAAAAAAAAAAAAAAGGAGCCAGTGAGGTGGCTGAGCAGTTAAAGGCACTTTCCACAGGACATGATGACCTGTGATGGATTTCATCCCTGCATTTCCATCATGAAAGAGAGAATGACTCTAGAACTGTTGTCGGACCCCTCCCCCATCCCCACACAAGTGCCCTGGGATACATGCAACACCCCCCCGCCCCACCCCAGGCACATAGAATAAATACAAATGCAAAAAAAATCTAAGTATCAATTTGAACAATAAAAGTGTCATTATATGAGTAGAAAAATGATCCTTTGGGGAATTGTTCTTATCAGTTATACTCTAAGGTCTTCCAGATTTATTTAAATAATTTTCATTTGGCATTTTTGTCTGTTTTAGTGAGTCACCTCTAAAACATTTGGGACCTGTTTGGCAAGTGCAGTGGATAGAACAAGACAGAGGAAATACGGGGGACGACAAAAGAGAAATCTTGGTGTCTATATCAGCCGACGGAAGGATCGCCAAGTGGATTATTCGCAAAGGACTGGATTGTCATGGTAAAAACCAGGGGAAAACCCATTTTATCAGACATTGAACTAAAGATTCTGGGCGAGAAACATTTCTGTGTAAAAGCTGACCAATTTTGGCTTGGTCCATAGGTGAAAAATCTGGAGTTGGTCATTGCTTTCTGAGCATCCAGATTTATTTTGTCCCCAGTTTAATCTAATCATATGCATACAATTAATCTGCAAAAGAGACAAACGTGATGCTAAGTGTACTTTTTCATGCAGGTAAATAACAAGCCATGCATATATTCATAGACATTTACGTGTATACACACACATACAAACATACACACACATTATTTGCAAAAGAGACAGACATGATGCTAAGTGTACTTTTTCATGCAGGTAAGTAACAAGCCGTGCATATATTCATAGACATTTATGTATATACACACGCATACAAACGTACACATACATTTCTTCCCGTAAAGATTTGATGCGACTGAAGCGAACTACTGCTGCAAGCAACAAGAAGGGAGGGGAGAAGGAGAAGAAGGGCGAGGCCTTGATATCTCGACAGGCTCCCGGAATGTGCTTTGCTTTCCACCCCAAGGTAAGTGTATTCCCACCATTATCGACTAGTATCTGTTACAGTTTCCAAAAATTGAGGTGCCGTTTGTGAATTGTACACACACACACACACACACACACACACACACACACACACACACACACACAAATCAATGTAGATATGGCTGCCAATGTGAGGCAGAGTGATAGAGAAGAGCTGTGGCAGAACTGATTCTCTTTACAACTACATGCCTAATAGGCGTGAATCTCCTCGCCGGCTTGGTCACTCTGCTCCTCTATTGTACTTATGTATATCAACTCTAGAATATCTGTTTTACCAGACGTGAACACAAACTGCTTCTGGTTGTCTTTGGCTTCTACTTGCTTGAAATATCAGTTCGCATCCTTCTTATTCTCTGTGTGTTTTTGCTAGGGAGGCACATTTCTGAATCTTAAGACCATTTACATTTAGTGCTATTATTGAGAGGGATTACTGATTCCTGTATTTTCTTCACTTCTTTTCTTGTTAATTTAACTATTGTTTGCCCCTCCCCCATTCACATATGGGGCTTGATGTTTAACAGAGCTGTACAAAGCCGGGCGGTAGTGGCACACACCTTTAATCCTAGCACTCAGGAGGCAGAGGTGGGAGGATCTCTGGGTTCGAGGCCAAATTGGTCTACAAAGTGAGCTCCAGGATAGCCGGGGCTACACAGGGAAACCCTGTCTTGAAAAGAAAAGAAAGAAAAGAAAAGAAACAAAGCAAAGCAGAGGTGTACATGATTTCTTCTTTCCATTTGTGTGTTTATTTCTACGATGAACTTTTCTCCCCGTACTCTTGTGATTGAGATGGTTTTTCTTCTTCTCTTTGTCGAGGATTCTTCCATGTCTCTTCAGCATTGCAGGCTTAGGTCATGAGTTGCTTTAGCTCATGCTCACTTTAGAAAGCATTTATTTTTCCATCCACTTTAAATGTGGATAGCTTTGATGGTTTATTATTTAATTTTCCTCATCACCATGACCCAGTACCTCACATAAGCAGCTTAAGTGAAGACAGACTTAGTTCTGCTCATAGTTCCATGGTAGGGAAGACATGACATCATCCAGACTGGCGGAAGTTGCTCCTATCGTGGCTATGGGGCATGCAACAGCTTGCTCGCATCTCGGTGGGTCATGAAAACAGAGATCTTCGGCCTGACGTGGGCATGTGATTCCACCTCAGAGCCCAATCCCCATGACTTACTCCTTCCAGCAAGGCTCACCATCGTAAAGCTTCCACAACCCCCCAAACCAGTACCACCAGCTAGGGAACCAAATGTTCTACTCTGTGAACCTTTGGAGGTCACTTCTTATTTAGTCCACAACCGCTTCTTGTAATAGTTTCGTGGTTCCACTGTTACCTATTTCAGGCCTTGAAACACATCATGTTTTTCCTGGCCTTGACAGTTTCTACTGAGAAGTGTGATGTTACTATGATCTGTTGTCATTTACATGCATTTGGCATTTTCCTTCTGCAGCTTTTTTTTTTTTTTTTTTTTTTTTTTTTTTTTTTTTTTTTGGTTTTTCGAGACAGGGTTTCTCTGTGTAGCTTTGCGCCTTTCCTGGAACTCACTTGGTAGCCCAGGCTGGCCTCGAACTCACAGAGATCCGCCTGGCTCTGCCTCCCGAGTGCTGGGATTAAAGGCGTGCGCCACCGCCGCCCGGCTCCTTCTGCAGCTTTTAATGTCCTGTGAAAAGATTGCTTACTGGTCATGTCTATTTAGCGTTTTAAATAGCCCTTGTACTTGGATTCCCATTTCCATGTTGGGAAACTTACTGTCTTTGAAGAGAGGTTTTTTGTTTTGTTTTTTTATGCCTTTTGTGTTTTTTGTTTGCTCTGTTTTTGTTTTTGTTTTTGTTTTTATCACAGCACCTTCTGTACCATGAACTCCCAGGTTTGGTTTGGTTTCCTTGTTACTACTGGAGTTCACGGGAGTTGTGGTGATACTGTTTATTTTTTGTTTCATGCCCATGTCTGAGTGTGGAATTTTCTCCTCATTGTGTTTCATCCTCAACAGCCTGCAGCTGACTTTCTCATCCACGTTGCTGACCTCTTTAAGCGGATCCTGAATTGACTTTCTTAAGTTCTTCATCTGCTTATTTGTACCCATTTTGAAGTCATTATCGTTGCTTCGGGTAGATTTGAATTCTTGGTCCAGCGTTTTAACTTCTTTAGTATCTTTGTATTTGATAATTGAGGCTCTGATTATTTTCTGGCTGAATCTCATCTTACTTTTTCTTGTTTCTTATATGTCTGTGTCTCAATTTATTCTCCTGTTGGAATGGATGTTTCTCTGGTTTTCTTCAGGAGTCTTCTTGATAAACCGGGTTCCTTTCAGAGTCAGTCCACAGTACCACTCAGAGTGGATTAAATGAGTCACATAACACCACACTAACTCAAATACATTAATATGCTTATCATTTCTTTAAATACCCTTAAAATCTCTTTATGATTGCCTCTTCCAAAGTTATAGTGAATTACTGTATCATCAAATGCTGTAGGATAGAAAGTAATGAAAATATTGTTATTTTATGATTTTTAAAATTAGAGTAAAATTTAAAATGCTAAATTAACACAGAAAGTAATAGAACAGGAAATGGGGAAAGAAGGAAGGTTAATAAAGAGAGGAAAGGAGAGCAATGTGAAGAGAGTGTTGTGCGAAAATATCTCTGAGACCCCAAAGATGGGGGATTTTGTACAAGCACAAAATGTTATCAGGTGAGAACATGTGTTTGTAAATAGTCAATATGAGGTGTAAAGAAAAGCCGCATACCAGGACGAGATATTTGTAACATATACAACGAGTTCTAGAATGTCTAAAGAGTTTGTATGAGTGGATATGAAAAAGATCTTTAAATGAAATAAGAGAAACAATAGATGACCAATAAGCATAAAGATCCCAGTCTTACTAATATTCACATCCATGAAGCTTAAAACCACACAAATTTTACAGCTAATAGAACGTCAACATGTAAGATTTCTGTTGTCATCAAACTCCGTGGTCAAAGGGAGTTCTTATGCTGACGGTACAGAAAAGCTTCCTGGAATACAGGCATGCTTTCCCAAACTTGGCTTTAAAGTCTTTCAAGGAGGTAACATCACTGTGAAGCCATAAAATAAAGACAAAAATTACGTCTGAGATAGTATTTCTTTTGCTTATTGAATGGGTTTACTATATGTTAAATTGGCTGCTCTTGTATTTAATGCCTGGCATGCCTTGTGTTGTAGGACACGAATATCTATCTGGCTGGCACAGAAGAAGGCCTTATTCACAAATGTTCCTGTTCATACAATGAGCAATACCTGGAGACCTATAGAGGACACAAGGTCAGCTGAATTCTAGTAGATTTGGAAACTGTATCTCATGATACTTTTGAAAGGCATATATAATGTGTTTAACAGATGCAATAATTTACAACTGAGGTAGTAGCCCCTTGAATAAGTGTGTGTGCTGATCCCAAGGAAACATTGTCTCTTGCTTATATTGATTCTTTTTTTCTTTATGATCATCTCTTCCAAGTTTTTTTTTTTTTGTAACATTATCTGTTATCCTTTCAGGAGGCTGTAATATGTGTTAATAATTACTGGCCATTTTCTCAAGAGTATTTTTATATAGAATAATTAAAGGAAGATTCAAGTTACAGTCTTGCTTTTAGTCAAAGCAGTCCCTATGTAATGCTCAGTGGTGTGTGTGTAGCTTCTAGAAATTTTAGTAACTTTTAACTTATTAGCCAAGTTTAAAAAATAAAATGTTAGATATTCTTTACCTATGCATGGCATTTTTGCATTTCCAGGGTCCAGTGTATAAAGTTGTATGGAACCCATTTTGTCCCGATGTCTTCTTGAGCTGCTCTGCAGATTGGGGTGTCATGATCTGGCATCAGGAGAATGTCAAGCCGTTTCTGAGTTTTTACCCAACTACTTTTGTTGTTTATGATGTCGCCTGGTCTCCCAAATCCTCCTATATTTTTGCTGCTGCAAATGAGAGCAGAGTAGAGATTTGGAACCTTCAGATCAGCACGTAAGTGCTGAATGGTAGTGTTTGAGTGATGGCTCCGGAAGAAAGAGTTCAAATCCAAATAGCACTCTTACAGCTTTGTCATCAGCCAGAGAGCACTGTGGCTCAAACAGTGCCAGCCACAACTCAACTATGACATTATAGGATGATTTACTTTGGAATAAATGACATCTATAATAGAGTGGCTGTTTAAATAATCCATCCCTTGGCTTTAATTTTCCTGGTAAAACTACAGTTTCCAGGGCAGTGCTTCTCTGGAAACAGAAGAAAGAAGCTGCCTCTCTTGTTTTCAGAGCACAGGTGGTTGTTTTCATGACCAAGACTAAGAACTGTCCCAATTGACAGCGGCCTTACGCTCCAGCGGTTCATGTAGATCCAAATATTCTTCTCTGGAGAGACAATTATGGCGGCCTGTGGTGGGGCTTTGCCTGCCATGCACAAGGTATTTCATAGGCATAACTGAATTGCACTTCACAGCACTTTCTCATGAAGGCCTTCAACTAATTTGATGAAGCACACCTACACTGTGGAAGGAAAGGAGCTTTGTTTAAATTCTAATTGTAATGTTCGACACAGTGGAGAGCTGGGAGACACAGGGAGGGAGAGAAAGAGAGAGAGAGAGACAGACAGACAGACAGACAGAGAGACAGAGAGACAGAGAGACAGACAGAGAGAGACAGAGACAGAGACAGACAGAGACAGAGACAGAGACAGAGACAGAGAAACATACCGAGACAGAGACAGACAGACAGACAGACAGACACACACACACACACACACACACACACACACACACACACACAGAGAACAAAAACTTTCAGTGATGACAAATGGATGTTTGACCAAGAACTGTATATGGTCTATAGTATAACTGAGTTGATACACAAAATTAAACAGCACAAAAACTTAAGTTTATGTGTTCACATTTAAGTTAGGAATTAAATTTACCTGTTGAAATTGACTTGTTGAAGAAATGAACTTTTTTTTCATTAGGAGAAGAAGTTATTCTGAATTTGGAAATACTTTAGGAGATTTTTGGTTTGTTACATTAAATTTTTTAAAAATCAAACTTTTTTTCAGTTTGTATCTTTTAAAAGACCATTTTAATGTGACACCTGAATTTACAGATAAACTATTTCATTACAGTTTGGACCCTCTGATTGTGAATGTTGCTAACCCTGGAATCAAGTTCACAACCATTCTCTTTGCCAAAGAGACAGATTGTCTTCTAGTGGGAGACAGCGATGGGCAGGTTGCAGTCTATGAACTGAGAAATATGCCCACTGCTACAGATGGTGGCCGGGTAAGACTCGGATGCAAAATTTTTAGTTCCTTTCGTGTATCTGTTGGATTGTAACTCAGAAGTATGTCATGGATGTGCATTTGGTGAGTGGCAGCTATGAGAGGTGTGGTAATGCGGGAGTTCCAAGAGTCGCTGCTTCATATTACACATGGTGTCTACCAAGCTTGTCTTCAGTCAGCCTCAGTTCCTTAGTTATAGAAGATAAATAGTGAGAATATGAGGACACCACATAAGGATCTTAAACATTGTCTGGAGGAACTCAATATCATGTCTACTACGTAACCAGGGCTTAGACAGTAGATGTAGCAGAAATAAATGTCCTCAGATATTGTCCACTGTTCTTTTTTTTTTTTTTTTTTTTTTTTTTTTTTTTTTTTTTTTTTTTTTTTGGTTTTTCGAGACAGGGTTTCTCTGTGTAGCTTTGCGCCTTTCCTGGGACTCACTTGGTAGCCCAGGCTGGCCTCGAACTCACAGAGATCTGTCCACTGTTCTTGAAGTGAGAATCTGGTCCTTTACCCTATGTAGCTATTCAAATGGGAGCATTATGTTGCCAATCTTGACAAAAAGCTCAGTATCATCAATGCACTTATTTTTATGATAGATTTTCAGTTTTTCTTTATTTTTATTGTTATTGCAAATAATAATCTGGTATATATCCTAATATGAAAAATGTTAAAATAGTAAAACCATATAAATAATAATTTAAAAAACACTGAGTCTAATAAAGAGTGGGCATGGGTCAAGAACATGTAGATGATTTAATTTACTTTAAAAAGTTTCTAAACTAAAAAGTGATATGTTTTCACAATTGAATTGACAAGTTTTTTTAGAATATGTCCAGGCTGACTAAGTTACTAGACATCTGCTAAACTAAGTCCTTTAATATTGAGGTCAGGCTAGAAACTGGTGGATTGTCTCTGGAAACAATTTGACAATGTGAAACTAGCACTTAGAACTGTTCAGGGTTATGTGGATTGCCATGAACCAGTAATTCCATTCTTGCAACTTTTTACTTATCATCTTTCTGCCTAAACCCCTCGGGACTTGTTCCTTCACCTACTTCAGATCTTTGCTGAAATGTCACTTTTTCAGTCAAGACTTCTTTGATCATCTCATTTAAAACTGTAATCTCCATTCTCTCCATGCTCCCTATTCATCTCTCCCCATCACTTATTTTTCTTGATAGCATTCACCTTTTTAATATTCTATGCTCTTATTTATGTATTTTAAAAGGTATTTGTACATGCCCCCAAACTAGAATGTAAACTCCATGGAAACAATGATTTTTGCCTATTTTGTGCTAGGCTATATTTCTATTAATTAGTTCAGCAACAGAGGTATACAGTAAATGTCTGTTGAATAAATGTGCTTTGAAAAACTATAAGAAATCAGAATATATTGTAAATATTATTTCTTAAAGGGAAAGATCATGAATGAGTTTTAGTTTTTCAGTTTAGTTATTTGTTTTCTTTTCTAGTATATGTAAAGAACTTCAACAGTCAGGAAAAATAAGCCCAATATTTTTTAAATGAATAAATATATAAAATACTAATTCACCCAAGAGTAATCTACAATACCAAAATACCTTCCCCCTCACTAGCATTTATAAAATGCACAACTGAAATTATATAAAATAGTAGCTAACACTGATTGGATGATTATAATCTAACTAATATCAAATGTTAGCAAGGATCATAAGAATATATATATATTACATGTATGTATATATGTATACACATACATACATATATATATCATATGCATATATATATATATATATGCCTCTTTGGAGAACATTTCAATAAAACAGAAAAATAACATACCCTAGAAGTCCTGTTATCTAGGAGATAACTTCTCATTCGTGTTAAGTAGCCAACAAGGATAATAATGTGAAGTTATTTTTCTTTCATAGGTGTTCCTGAAGCAACCTTTATATGTAGAAATATGACTTAGTCTACCCTTAAATAATAGAGGTTCAAGTGCTGTATAACAGGGAAACCCCAGTAGACCGTCCACTTTCACTTGATTATAGATTCTGTTTTTCAGTATATGATTGTCAGCAAGGGCTCTTCTCCTCTGAGCCATCGCTCCAGTCCATACTTGTTGATTTGGAAAGATACGTATTGTAAATAACGAAAGCTGCCCTGCAGCCCTTGTGCCTGGTGTGCTAGAGAAGCATACAGTGGATTGGTACAAGCTTTTGGATCCATGTTCTTTCTCTCATTGCCAGTCACTGTCTGTGGCCCTCCAGTAGAAGGATTTTGATTCTTGGGTTCTGAGAGCCTTGAGTGGAATGATTTCTGACATTTCAGTGCTTCTTGGAGGAGTCCAGGGGCAATATAGGAAGTCGTGAGATAATACATGGCAGAAGGTTGGTTCCAGGCCTGGTCCATCAAAGGGACTCTGGTTAGGGTACTGTAAGCAAGTGCCATGACTCACATCTTGAGAATTGAAAAACTAAAGTAAGTCTAGCCAGGATGTAAAAGAATAGAGAAAGATTCATGAGCCACAGCAAACAAGGAGAACACAGAAATTATTGCCAAAGCAGTGCCTGTCTTGCTTAATGGCTAACAGTGACACCAGGTTGCTGTGTGCCGTGAACATGGGACCAGGTCCAGGGCTTGCAATTATAACTTTGTAGCATAGCTAACTATTGACAGGATGTCCCACCTCTTATCTTTCATGATGGTGGAAGCCCCAGCCCTTTCTTGATATGATGAAGGTCAATCAGTAGGCATCTAAGTTTCGTTTAAAGAGTTATAGTTTAGGAATTTAATGGAAGTCAACTCGATGGGCCTTTTAGGAAGCAACCCTTTCCATGACTGTCTGTAGCAATTGCTCTTGTATACTTCATTGACGACTATGGCTCAGTGTACAGATATTTGCCATATTCTTCTCTGTTTGGGATATATATATATATATCTTCTTATATATAAGGATATATATATATATATATATATATATATATATATATATATATATATATATTCTTAACTAAAGGGGAATATTTAGAAGCTGGGATGTTTAAAATGGGGTTTAAAAATATAGACATGTAATAGAGTACTGTTGAAAGATACTGAAGGCATTCTTGATTGATCAGATACTGAGTGTGCACTGTATGACAGGGTCTGTCACAGGAACTAAGGATATATATCACTGAGCAAACAGCAGGACCGATCCCTTTCATTAGCCCAAGTGAGAGACAGAAGCAGAAAGGGACAGCTTTGAGAAGCACATTAAGGTTAGAAATGGCCAGGCATTACATTGTTACACTGGACGTTCTAGGCTAAGGAAGCACCAGTGAGTGCAGTACAGGCCAGAGGGTGGGGACTGACTTCTGAGACACAGGGGATCCCTGGTCTGCAGAGGTTAGGTACCGTATAACCTCTCCTATAACCTTCAGATGCTGATTTCCTCAGGATCCTCTTTGCCTTGTGGTAACGAGAACTCAGCTCTTTGGTTTTCTCATGTTTCACTATAAATTCTTGCGTTCTTCCCCCTCCTCTTTGGGTTCCATCCTCTTGTATGCAATCATCTTCTGATTTTTAAGTGTAAACCCACATGAAAATCAAGAAGCCAGTCTCTAAGTCAACCACTGACAGGTCAGGAAAGTACTAGAAAGGCAGGTGAGCAAGCTCAGGTTTAGGCATGACGGGAAACAGGAGGCGCTGAAACTGCCCGTCCATCAAACCCTTGTGAAATGGTTTGTCAAGTCTCATTAAAAGAGGCTTTCCTAGGAAAGCCACTAGATGCCAGGAAGCAAGTGTCATTATTTAAACCTTCGCCTGTTTGTCCCCACTTTTACAGCCTCACTGGATGCCCATTAAATGTGTGTACCTAACATACAAGTTTCAAATGGCGTTTTAAAGACAGCTTTACCGTTCAGATTGAATTTTATTGTATTGTAATTGTGGGTTTTTTTTTTTCCTTTTCTTTTCAGGGAGATGTAATAAACGCTCTGCTTGGACCCAAGACAAACTAACCAGGATAATTCATCATTCTTGTTACAGTTTGTTTTTGTTTAAGTAAAAGGGAATAACATTATATACTGTAAGCCAAGATTTTAGTTTTAAGGGGGCAATATGTAGCCTAGACCCTCCATTTAAATTACCTTAGTTTTTATTTCAGAAACATGTGGTTAGTTTATAATCTAAAATAGGCTAAAGATTTCTGTTGGGATTTTCCTCTCTCTCTCTCTCTCTCTCTCTCTCTCTCTCTCTCTCTCTCTCTCTCTCTTGTTTTTCTAGACAGCCCTGGCTGTCCTGAAACTCACTGTGTAGACCAGGCTGGCCTTGAGCTCACCGAGATCCTCCTACCTCAGCCTTCCCAGTGCTGAGATTAAAGGCGTGTGCCACCATGCCCAGCTGTGGGTTTTTAATTTTCTAAAGCTATTTCTGTTCCACTTCTTGTCATATTTGAAGTATCTATTAGCAAATACATATACCTATAAAATGTTCAATAGCTTAGAAAATGATTTCTTTAAAATTTAGCTATTTTTAGAATTACTTAATCTGCAGTTGTTAGAAGATAAAATTCCAGCAACTATCAAATCTGCTTCCCAAGCTCTGCTTTTGAGATTTACAATCGCACAGCCACTTTGATGAGCCCAGTGAGTTCTCATACCCGACTTGGAACATCAGTGCTGTCTTCCTAAATCCGAGCCCTGAAACTAGAAAACTTTGTCAGACTACTACTTGGCAAGGTGTAGGATGGAACAGCAAATATCAGCATCACATTGTCCGGCTAGCTAGCATCCCATTCCACGGCGGGGTGGGACACACACGCGCACACACACACACACACACACACACACACACACACACACACACACACGACACCAATCTCAAATACATTGTTACCTTCCTCTGAAAGCCCAGAATCATCTGCAGTGAAGTTTCAGCCCAGACTTAAGTTGTCTCAGCAAGAAAATAGAAGGTCTTTGACTGCGTCAGGGAGTTTTCTAAAGAGTCCTAGAGAGAGATTGGGCAGGAAGGATGGAATACCCCAGACACACACACATACCCACTGACACAGACTGCTAAGAGGTGGTTCACGTGGGTCCTCAACAAGTGTTCATGTGTTAAATGAGGCCACAGGGCATGGAAGCCTGTTCTGTAAAGTGTTTTGAGTGGAGAAAAGAGGCTGGGTGTGTGAAGCTCACAGAGACTCTGGAGGTCTTTTATGTCTATGCTAATGACAAGAGTCCATAGCAGTGAGAACTGCTGATGACCAGCAGCCATTGCCTCACCATCTCCATGTTTGGGGATCGATCCATTAAACAAAAGCAAGGCAATTTTTAGGTGGCTCTTGGGTTTAGGTCAGGTCATAATGATTAGATGTTTTTCTGCTGGTCTAAGTCATTGTGGTTGTCTTTCTGAACGATTGAACTAACTGTGTTACTTTGAGTAAGAAAAAAATAAAAACTTAATTTAGTTGAAAAAAATGTATTCCTTTTCATTTTAATGCTTTTTAAAAATGTACATTTTTTTCTCTTGTTTTCATCAAGTCTGGCTGAACAATAAAGGCATCATTTTGGACATTGGACAACTGATCTAAGGAATTGAACCTACTCTACTTCATTTTCTCCTCTAGGTCATGCAGGCTTAAATGATGCTCTCACATGTGTAGATCAGGGGTGAATTTTTACTTTACTTTGTGTTAGGGATTTCTTTGCCTGTTTTCTAGGCTAACTTCAGTTCCTTATAGTAGACTCCATTGCATGAGGATTCTCCCCACCCACTAGTCATCTCATCTTTAGTGTGCATGTGTGTGCAGTTGGGAACATAGAAGGTGATGGCCATGCTAAGCTTAGCACTAAGTAGTTGTCACGTAAGGTTGGTCATTTTCCATGAGGCAGCTCTCATACAGAACTTACAGTTCCCCGAGTCTACTGTTAGGCCAGCTGTACTTCCCACTGACCTACAAAAGGACAATTGTATTCAGATGACAATTGTGCATCATATTTAATGTTCTAAGCAATTACTAAGAGTTACAAATGAGAAATAAGAACACTTAGTATTTGCCTTTTGTCTCAAGAGTTTATTCAAAAGAAGATCTTGAATTTTAGTGTAAATCAGTTTAGTTATCAATATACTAGTAATAGTGCATATTGAAGCTCTTTGTAGTTTACAAAACACATTCACATCATTTATCTCAGTTTATTTATCTTAGCAGTCTTGAAACAAGTAGAGAAATTGTTATACTTTTGAGGCTTGAGGACTGAGGCTTGAAGAAGACAATACACCAGACTGCTCACTGGCAACTTGAAGTGAAGGCACTCAAACACCTTTGCTTTGCTTTGGTCTAGTTTGTGGTTCTGGGCAGCCACTATGGTAAGCAAATAGATGGTGGGGTATCAGAGAGAGAGGCAGAAGGGTTCATGTTTTGTGGAGAGAGGCAGATCTGAAGAGGTGAAGGCAGTGAGGAGCAGGCTGGTGTAGGAGGCCTGCTTGCCACCCAGGGCCATGTTGACATCCGGTCCTGAGCTGCTGCCAACGGCCAAGTCTGGGTCCGTTGCCCGACCACAGCCAGTGTCTTAGTCAGTGTCCAATGTGCAGGTTCAAGTTACCACTTGAAAGAAGTGTAGATGCCCGGAGTCTGGCCCAATGCCTGAGACCATGTGGGTATCTGAGAATCATGCTGCCGCCAGGGTCATACAGATCTGGTGGTCGGCACTGCCGCCTGAGGCTGGGGGCCATGTCCGGATCCTTGGCTCCACTGCAGCCGGGGTCTGTGTTACAATCTGTGGCTCCTGGTACCATCGAAGGTCGTGCCACTGCACGGGGTCTGGGAGGCCACCTGGGGCCACGTTGGAGTTCCAGAACCATGCTGCAACTTGAATCATGCCGATCTGAAAGGCCTGCCCTGCTACCTGGGGCCATGGTGACACTCAGGCCAAGATGCAGCTGTTGGCCATGTCTGTGTCATTGTCAAGCTGCAGCTGCGGTCTGTGTTGATGTCTGTTGCCTGAGTTACCACAGGGTCCATGGAACCATGTGGTGAAGTAAAAGGGCAGTGCTGAGCTAACCATACCCTGGCCCTAGGATAACAGAAGGATGACCCCAGCATGGGAAAGCTGGCCCTACTCCTAATAGGAGAGTTGTGCCCTGCAACTTGGGAAAGCTGGCTCCACTCCTCACCATGAGCCTGGAAGAACTGGCTCTGCCCCTCACTTGAGGGGGATGATCCCAGGAGCCCAGTCAGACCAACTCAGCTACCACCCAGACAGACATCAGGGCTTTGAGTTAGCCCTCCCCAGCATCTACCCCATCTATGACCTGCTGGAGCATGTGAAGGAACAGGGCCTGTGGAACCATAGCCACAGGATCCCCATGACTCAGGGTAACAGCAAGATATCTGAGAGGAGATTCAGTGAGGACCAGTATTGATGGTGTACTAGAAGCCAGAGGCCTTGAACCTGACCAACAACGCATTACACAATGACCATTTGCAAGTAGAGCTGGACAAAGGGGAATACTGCATGATGCACAGTGGCTCTTAGTGCCACCAAGATGAATGAAGAGGTGATGGAGCAGTGGGAAAGACGGAGGAGTGAAGTGGGTTCTTTTTGTTGTTGTTGTTTGTTTTGTTAGTTTGTTTACTTTTGTTTTTAAATTAATATTTTTATTTGTATTTTTATCTTATTATTTTTTAGTTTTCCTTTTGGGGGGCACTACAGGGTGAAGGGTAGATATGGAGGGACTGGGACATGAGTGGGATTGGGGTACATGATGTGAAATTCCCAAAGATTCAATAAAAAATTACATTGAAAAAAAAAAAGAAAAGAAAAACCATTCCCCATTCAACTAGTGATATTCAGAAGTATCCAGAGCCACTGGAGCTGAGGAGCCCTGTACTGATGGTAGGAGGATCTTGACACAGAAAGACGTTGCAGTCATATCTAGGGAAGGGCAAGCAACTTGTGCTGACATTAACTTGTTTCACACATGTTGAGTGTGACCTGGAATCAGAAAATATTTAAGGTATTGTTGTAGAATATTATTTTAACTATGTAAAGATGTGTTAAATTTATTTATGCTGCATTTGTTTAACAATGTAAGGATGTGTGTTTAATTATGTAAAGATGTGTTGTGTCTGTTTCACCTTGCCTGCCTAAGGCACCTGATTGGTCTGATAAAAAGCTGGATGGCCAATAGCTAGGCAGGAGAGGGATAGACAGGGCTGCCAGGCAGAGAGACTACATAGGAGGAGGAATCTAGGCTCAGAAGAAAGGATGGAAGAAGAATGAGAGAAGGAGGAGGAGAGAACGGGGAAGACGCCCTGGGCAAGAAGCCAGGCAGTCACCAGCCAGGCATAGAGAAGCAGCGATGATAAGATACATAGAAAGAAAAGGTTTAAAAAAAGAAAAGGCAAAACATAGATAAAGAAAAAGAGGTTAATTTAAGTTAAAAGAGCTAACCAGAAAAGAGATAAGCTGGGGCCTAGCATTCAAAACTAGTAATAAGTCTCCATGTCATGATTGGGAACTGGCCAGTGGTCCAAAAGAAAAATCCTGCTACAAGGTATAGAAAATATATATCTTAGACAACTAAGTTTCTTTTCTAAGAAACTTTTTTACATTTTTGTTGCTGTTGTTCTGTAGTGTGGAGTGGATGGGATAGAGTCTATGTGAAGACCAGAGGACAGTTTACCAAAGTTAGTTCTATGTGTAGATAACTGTATTTCTAAACTGGGGCTCTACCTGCTATGGGTCAGTTGCTTAGTGTCTCCCTCCCTTCTAGACTGTAGGCTTCTTGAAGAGAGAGACTATGTCCTGGGCTCACCATACTACCCCACCAATTGGAAATGTAAGAAATACCTTTTGAATGCAAGGATAAAGGAACTATAGCTTCCTTCTTGGAGATCCTTATCACAATATGGCTCAATATCTTGAATTCCCTCGGAAACCTAAGAAAATATTTTAGCATCAGGGTGGATGAAACATTTGAACTGTAGAATTTATAGAGAACATAGAGTCAGCCTGGAAAGTTCATAAGCACAGCCACAGCTTTCTTCCATTTTGTTATAATAAAATTCATTTCCCCTTTCAATATAAAAAGTAATAAACCCCATGCTCACTTTTTTGCTTTTTTTTTTTTTTTTGGTGAAGTTTGCTATGACTTTGTGTGGTTGTGTTCCCACCAGCAATTTGGGAAACAAGGCTATCTAATGTAAAGCATCCAAGGAAAAGGGTACAGGGCTCCTTCTGATCACCTACAGCCCTGACCCCAGAGCCTGATCTCCTGAAAACATCTTTCTCCTTGTGCTCCACTGTGCTTGCTCCCTTGCTGCAGGAGATGCATGCCGTCCTGGTGACCTCATTGACTTCTCCGTGTGACATTTAGGCTTTGCGATTTGTTTGTTCAGGACTTTGTTTCAGATTTCCTCGAAACTTGTAGACCATTTACTAGCATTTTAGCTTTTATGTGGCAAACTCATTGGGCAGTAAAACTAAAAGATTGATGTTTACATGAGACCAGTTCCTAGATTGAACCAAAACTCATTATGTCCACAAAGTCTGACATATGAAACATTGTTATGAGTCTTAGAAAAGTGAGTGTTTCTTTTTTTAAATTGCCAAAAATGTATGCAACACCAAAAACAACTCATGAAAAGCCTGCATTTTCAACAAATATGTATTGTTTGTGGGTACATTTAACTACAAGAAGCTATGGTATTATTAACCCCAAGAAGAAGAATCTGAGTGAATCCTTGGGAGACCTACATCTGATCTCTGATGGTAGATGGAGGGATAGGAACAAAGATAAATAGATAGGTTTGGGGGCTTTGTTGTTTTCTTGTTATTGTTTATTTGCATGGTGGAGATGGAAGCCAATAAGGCCAGGTGAGCACACTATCAATGAGCTATTCCTTAACTCTTACATTTTTTTTTTATGTTGAAACAGAGTCTCACTAGGTACCCAGCTGGTCTTAAACTCACTCTGTAGCCCAGAGTGACCTGGATCATGATCCTCCAGCCTCAACTTTCTGAATAGTCCTACCCTGTACCATCAGGACAAGCTCAAATTTATTAAATTTTCCAAACTGTACACATGCTTTGATTGTTTATTGTCTTTATTTCTAAGCACTCAAAATGATATGTCTCCCTCCCTTTTTTGTATGCTGTGCATACAAAATAAAGCTTTAAGTGTCAATTACTGTTTTTGAGTATATCTTAAAACATACACGTGTGTGTGCTTACAAACATCAGATTATTCAATTGTTCGCAGATATGTAAATTGATTCCTTTTTTTCTTTTCTTTTTTTTAGACAGGGGCTTATATTAGCCCAGCCTAGTCACAAGCTCAGCCAATACTCAGTATGTAGCAAAGGAAGTCTCTGGTTTCCTGATCTCACTTGCCTCCACCTCCCAACTGCTGAGATCCAGTGTGTACCACCATGTCCAGCCTTGATTCTATTTTGTGAATAAACCACAGGGAAGGTGGAGTGCAGACACCTCACAACATACTGATTTCATGTCTTT